CTGTGTTGGTGTAGTCAGTGCTGCTTTCCGAGAGTCGCTTTCGTCGCTCTGTCTCTCTCGCACACATACTCGGGGCGCCCATGGGTGCGAGAGAGACAGCGTCTCAGTGTGCTGCCTCTGCCGGCGGGCAGGCAGTCAGGGAGTCGCTCTGCGTGTGGACGAGTCAGAAGCCGACGAGGAAGACTCGAATTATCATGATTGCCAATCCCGACGCGGGAAACGACTTTTCGACTCCAAACCCGACTGACTGCGCGTTTGCTTTGTGGACGCGCGCGTCTCGCTGCTCGTCCCACGGGGAGCCCCGCACTGTGGCGGTGCCTCTCTCTCGCACCCCTTTCGGGGCGCCCTGTGAGTGCGAGAGAGACAGAGCGACGACACCGCGTTCAAAACCCGAGCTCCTTTTAACAGCCAGCCAGAATCGGGGTTTGGTGTCACACGGGAGAGAGAGAGAGAGAGAGAGAGAGAGAGAGAGAGAGAGAGAGAGAGAGAGAGAGAGAGAGAGAGAGAGAGAGAGAGAGAGAGAGAGAGAGAGAGAGACCGCCACCGTTTGGACGCCACTACCGTGTGCTTGCACAAAGAACGCGCGGTGGAGGCTACGCCGGCTATACGCGTCGGTTGGGCGGTCTGCTCCAGTTTGTTGTCCGGGGCGAGGGGGAGGGGAGGGGGGCACCTGACAGCTGCAGCAAGCTCACCTCCCCCCCCCCCTCACCCAGGTGCACAACAAAGGTGGGAGGGGGTGGACTGCAGTGGCGTGGCGCAACGCGCGGAGCTCCGCGGAGCAAGGTTCTCTGCCGCTGAATGAGCGAGTGAGTGCGAGAGACTGCTATCTCTCTCCCTCCCTCCCCTCACACCTCTTCGATCCCCCTCCCCCCCTCCCCCCGGGCCCTTCCCCGGTACGGCGGTACGGATGTGTCGACATCTCATCCAGCTGCTCCAGGTCGGCCGGTCCTTCCTCTCCACCGTGTCTCCACCCTCCCACATCGTCGGCCGCGTCGGCCACCCCGCGACGAGTGCGTGCGCAACAGTGTCGCGTTCACCGTGGTCGAAATAACCTTTTTCAACGACCTCATCGCAATAACAACAGCAACAAAAACAACAACCTCTTGTTCACGCCAAGTGTCATGTCACCCGCCGGCGTTTGAATTTCCCGCCGCACGGCCTTTGTTTTCATGTTGTTGTTGTTGCTTTTTCGGGGTGAACAACCGGCCGCACACTTTCCCGCGCTTTGCCTGCCCGTGCTGCCTGTGCTTCCTTTGCAGGCTCGCCGCCGCCCGTTTTTAAACGCGCGCGCGCCTTACGTAAGCCCCTCCCCCCCCTCCCTCCTCCCTCCCGCACGCGCGTCTAGCGTCCCCATCCTCCCCCGATGAACGTGGAATACGTAATTCCGACGCTTTCTATCGGGGCCTTTGACCGACGAAAGGCTGCCGAAAGCGCGGGGGCGGGGCGCGGTCCTCTATCCCCCTCTATCGTCCTCTGCCGGACTGACGACGGATAGAGAGAGAGAGGGTAGTAAAGTGGGAGGAGCGGCGATTGCCATTCTAATGCCGAAATCATATTCGAAGACTGTGACGCCATTCGCGATCCGACGAGGAAGCACTCTGTCAAGGCCGACGTGCGGGTGATACTCTGTGTGTGTGTGTGTGTGTGTGTGCCGCGTGTCACGCGACGACGTCAGCCAGATGAAGCTGCGCGCTTTTCTTTCTAATCAGTGAATCACCACAACAGAGGCGCGAAATTCTCGCACTCACTTACTCATTCGATTTATTCAATTCACCCATCCATCCATCCATCCATCCATCCATTCATTCATTCATTCATTCGTCCATTCATTCATTCGTCCATTCATTCGACCATTCATTCATTCATTCATTCATTCATTCATTCATTCATTCATTCATTCATTCATTCATTCATTCATTCATTCATTCATTCATTCGTTCATTCATTCGTTCATTCATTCATTCATTCATCCCGATGACGCCGGATGGGATATCGAAGGGCGCGCGTCGTTCGCACCAAACAAGAGCAACAAAAAACGACAACAAACAACAACAACACAAACTGAGGAGAAAGCGTAACGGTCGCCCTAACTGCCCCTCCCCTTTCTCCTTTCTCTGGTGCCGCGCGGACCCGAGCGGACTGGACTGGACACCGTGCTCCATTTTCGTACAGATCCCCCCCCCCCCGCGCGTTTACTGGATTCTGCTTTCGGAAGGTGGCGATTCCCTTTGTTTCTCGTGCCGATGCTGTTCGCATAGCGCGGCCGCGATCGGGGAGCGCGCGTCACTGGACTGTGTGTGTGTGTGTGTGTGTGTGTGTGTGTCTGTGTGTCTATGTCTGTGTGTGTCTGTGTGCGTGCGTGTGTGCGTGTCTGTGTGAGTCAGGCGAGGCGCCGGCGGCGTCCTCTTCCTGGCTTCGTCACCGTCGCGCACGGCGTGCCTGGGGCTGCCTCGCTGCCTTAGCTAGCTGCTCACTGATTCATTGATTCTTTACACCCGATTCAAGGGCAGTCGCCGTCTGCATCGGTATCGGTGTCTGAGTCAGAGGCGACCGCCGGACGGACGGTGGCTGCTCGGCGCGTTCCCGGCTTTGTCTGCCGATCCTGCGGCCCGCGGCGCTAGCGCGGCGCTATAGCGGCGCCATAGCGGCGCTAGAGGCGCCCGAGGGAGGGACCCAGGGGCCTTGGGCCTTCGCGTCGCGCTAGACTCGCACTGGGGTCGCGCCCAGTGAGCTGAGTACAGTGTTTAGTGCGTTTAGTGCATGCCCCGCTTTGGCGAACCCGCGCAGAAAACGTGCCGTCACCTGCGGCATGCATGCTGCGATCGAATCCCACTGATTCGCATGCCGCACCGAGTTTCGTGTCTCTGTCTCTCTCGCGCCCATACAGGACGCCCTTGAGAGAGACAGAGCGACGAGAGCGCTGTTGCGGGGACCGCTCTGCGCGGAGTGTCCCGCGGACAGAGTCCCGGACAGTGTCCCGGACAGTGTGCGCGCGGGGCCGTACCGCTTCGGACCGCTCCGGCCCCACCTGGACTGATTTCCCCTAGGCTGTCCCTATGCTAACCGAGCTAGGGCACGGCGTCGTGGCGGGGCGGGGCGGGCGGGGCGGGGCGGGGCGGGGCGGGGCGGGGCGGTCGGACTGGCGAATCTAGGTCTGCTGGAGGAAGTCAAAGCGACCAGCAGCGCCACGACGCGGCCTGGAAGGCCTGGACACACCGCACGGCGCAACACCACGGAAGGTGCAGAATCGAGTCCACAAAGCGCGGAGGGGGGGGGGGCGTAGCTGCGGCACGGGTCACGGAGCGAGCCAGCCCGTCCACCTTGGCAGCCCCCTGCCCCTTCACCCGCCCCCTCTCTCCTTTACACTCCGCGCGGCCTTCTCCACCCACCGCCGTCTCCCCCTCTCTCTCTCTCTCATATTTTCTCTTCTGTATACTACTCCCACAAGACGCCGCCGAAGCCTTGGTCGTCCTCTTCTTCTCCTTCTCCTTGTTTTACGCCGCCGCCGCCTCCCTTGCAACGCCCCCCTCCCCCTCCCCGCGGCGTCGCGGCATAGCTCTGCCAGTTGAATGAACTTTGGGGGGAGGGGGCCGCGGGGGCCGCGGGGGTGGAAGGGTGGCGGGGCAGTATTAGCGGGAATATCTCGCTGCCCGCGGTGTGGCGGCGCGGAGGCGCACTCGCTGGAGTCGATTGGGCCGCTGGGCTCCCGCTCCTGGAGGCCCACTGGAAAAACGGAGCGCTGGAGAACCTCGGCTGGAGTATATAGGTCAGCCCGCCCCCTGCCTGCGCAGCCCCGGCGGCGGCAGGGCCATCGCTCTGTCTCTCTCGCACTCATGGGACTTCCCTCAGAGGTGCGAGAGAGACAGAGCGACTGTCGCGCTGCGCGGAGGAACCACCCTGCAACCCCCTAGGCTACGCCAAGGCTACGCAGCGCCGCCACTCGCAGAATCTCGCTCGCGCGGTGGATGCCCGGCTTTGCTGGATGTGGCGCAGGAATGAGGCAGGGCGCTGCCGCGGGCCGCGAGCAGTCCTGGAGAATCCTGGAGAATCCAGGGGCATTGCTCTCCAGCCACGTTGCCAGCGCGGTAGCTCTAGCGGGGCGTGGCGGGGCAGGGCGTGGCGGGGCGGGGCGGGGCGCGGCAGGGCGGTGTCGCGGAGAGGCTCGCGGCCGTGGGTACCTCCAGGGCAGCGGCTCTACGAGGCGCCTTCTTCGCCTCCTCCTCGTCTTCTTCTTCATCTTCTTCTCCCTCTTCTTCCCACAGGAAAGGAGTGGGATGACCAGGACTGAGCTGCGACACCTGTTGTGTACTGTTGTTCCTGTTCTTCTCCCTCGGCTCCTCTTCCCTCCTCGCTCCTGTTTTAGGTCCCGTTACGCCGCGCCTGGCCTAGCCGTGCAGTTGTTGGTGCGAAATGCAGAAGGTGGTCGGCCAGCCTTCGATGGGTGCGAGAGAGACAAAGCACTGCGTGGAATCCAACGGCAGTGCATCTCCGCGCGGTTCAACTCAACGCCCAGCGCGCAGATTCCGGTCGCTCTGTCTCTCTCGCACCCCCACGGCCCTTCGGGACGCACCCCGTGAGTGCGAACGAGACAGCGATCGTCTGCTGCGAACCGCCAGGCGCCACATTCTGTTCCCGATCCGATCGCGCCGCCCTTCGGCTTCCGAGCCCTTCGACAGGGAGGAGTCGGGTTTATTTGGGGAGCCGCCGTGCCGCCGTGCCGAACGCGGCGAAAATACCCCGGAGTCACCATGAGTCACTGCGAGACGCGTGCGCACGCCCGAGGCACGCGCCACACAGCGCCACGCGGTGGGGAAGGAAACAAAAACCCATCCGCTGCTGTAGATAGCTATTACCCCTTCCGAGCACCCGTTCCTAGTAGTGGCAGTGGTAATCCCATCTCCAGCTTGTGACGTGTTGTTGCAAAGAGTTTGAAGACCTGTACGGATCTGTACAATGTGTGTCCGAGTCGGTGTGTGGGTGAGGGAGTACTAACACACAAATTGATGTCAAAGCACTGGTCTTTAGTCATACACATTTTTGGCTCTCACATCCATGAAAAATAAAAAGTTCTCTTCGTGATTTCCTAATTCCTTAAACAATCTTACCATAATTACAAAAACCCGTTGGAAAACTTAAAGCGTATCTAAAATATCACAGTTCGAGCAAGATTTTCAGTCTTTAGGTAGAAGCGGGGTCACCGCTGGGATCGCCCTCGACGGGCTCAACTTTAATTTCCACCGAAAGATAGTCGGCTGGAGTGGCCTCATCGTCGTCCTCGTCCTCCACGCATCCTGCAACAGATCGGATTCATTCAGACTTAGCTCCACGTCATAGCAATTGTAACCTAGAAGACAAGTCTAATGGGTTATACACGTGAATGAGAGACCGAAGACGCACTACAAATTGAGTATTGAGTACTCTCTTCGGTCTGCAGTATAAACCAAGCAGCACGTTGGTCAAATGGTGTCTACTGTGCTTGCCCACCATCTAACGTGCACGTACATACTTCAAGCTACTTACCTTCGTCAGACTGCAACGCATGGGCCGGCGAAGGGTCATGGCAGTCCTTGCTGCCCTCTGCAGTGCCCAGGCTCTTGGCCTGCTCCTTGCCTGCAGCTCTGCGCATCGCTCTTCGGTTCCGCTGCAGCTCGATCTTCCTTGCTCTCTGTTCTTCCGTTAGATCCTTGGGTATGTATCCTTTGACTTCGCCTTCTTGCTGCTGTGCCGGTCCGTAGCGCACGAGTTTGGCTCTGTGGCGGGCCGCCTGGGCACGCAGTCGGTCTCTCTCACGTTGCTGTGGCGTTCGAGGTTTCTCGTGGTACCTGCCACGCATGAGCTTCGAACGCTCTCGGTCCCGCTCCCTCTTGCGCTCCCGCTGTTCGGCAGTCAATTGTCGAGTTTGGCTTTTCGGCTGTTCTTCAGTCCACTGTTGAGGGTAGCTTTCTTGCTGTTCTTCAGTTAATTGTTGAGATTCGAGTCTTTGTTGTTCTGCAGCCAGCCATCGAAGTTCGATTCTTTGCTGTTCGTCTGTCCACTGTTCGGTCAACAGGCATCCTAGCTCTTCTGGTGCTGGCTCACTGCCTGCTGGTAATTTGGCCCTGGCGCGTCTTTCCCGGTCTCTCTGCCGTTTGCGCTCCCGCTGCTCTTCGGTCAACGGTCGCCGTTTTCCTTCTTGCTGTTGTTCGCCTGACTGTTGAGGTTTGCCTCCTTGCTGTTCCTCTGGTGCTGACCCGCTGCCTTCAGATAACTTGGCTTTTGCACGTCTTTCCCGGTCCCTCTGCCGTTTGCGCTCCCGCTGATCTTCAGTCATCTGCCGACGAGGTTTGCCTTCTTGCTGGTCAGTCGGCTGACTTGGTTTGCCTCCTTTCTGTTCTTTAGCCGACTTTCGAGGTTTGCCCCCATTCTGTTCTTTAGTCGACTTTCGAGGTCTGCCCCCTCGTGCAGGCCTTTTGTCTTCTGGATTGGCTTTGGCAGCGCGTCTTTCCAGAATTTTGTCCTTTGCGCGTTGTACTGCGGTGCGGTACTTTCCCGTTGTGACCATCTGAGTGAAAGCTGAAAACATGTACAATGAACCGTATTTAACGTAGTCAATGCACGTAGCCAATTCGATACTTCGACTGCTCAAGAAAGGATGGCCGTCGCTAAAACAAAAACCCACACTTGTTTTTTTTTTTTTTTTACTATTTTTCTGCGTAGAGGCTCCAAAGCCAACGGAAATAAGCGTGAACGGCAATGATGCACCAATAGTTTCTCATATTCGCCGCGGGCCGAGAGCTTCCTCATATCCCGGGCACACACTCAGTGGCAGGAGATGGTTTTGGGCCGCAGCTTCCAAACCATTACAGTAACAGGGGTATAGTAAGCGAGCCGATTGTAGGTTTCTGTCCAACCTACAGTCGGTTCGCTTACTTTGCTACTCGAACCCGAACGGTTTACGAGCTGTGGCCGAAAAACTGTTCCGGCTGTCTGCTGTGCTCCCCGTGCCGCCAGCTCCTCGCGGCCTCCCCCCCCCCCCCCTCTCTCTGGACCGGCCAAGGCGTGATGGCTGCCACGACGTGCTTCTGCGCATGCGCGGAGCAGACAAATCCAAAAACAAGTGAGGGTTTGTTGTGTTCCAGCGGCGGCCATCTTGGAGACTCCCCTAACCCTCTTTCTGTCAAAATGCCTCATTCGTCGCACCCCACTCACCTTGCAGGTCTTGGCGGCGAAGCATGCGTTGGCGCTGCCGCGCCCTCCACCGCGCGCGCTCCAGCTGCTCCTTGGTCAGCGGTTTTCGATTCCTAGCCATGGCGAGTCACTGCTTTGGTTCGTGGGGAGCGTGGTCGTCGAGTCCTGGAGCGCGGTTGACGGCGACGGCGACGGCCACCGTCGGCGGCTTCGACGGCGTCCTGGACCCGTCCACGTGCTCGTTGTAAACAATCCCCCTACCCCCGCGTGGTGCTGCGGCCGCTGCCAAGCCTTGGGCCACGCCGTGCAGCGCGAGCGCGACTGCGCGAGCGGCGATGCCGGCTTCCACTGCCCCCTCCCCTCTCCCCGCGCGCTGTTGCCAGAGCGTCGAGTCGCAGTCGCCCGTCGCGTCGGCCTCAGCCGCCCGCGAAACTTCGAATTCAAATTCACCCCGACGCGGCGGCGGCGTGGCGTCGGCGAGGGTGCGAACCAGCCCGACCTCACGAGAGAATTTGGGGGCTAGGTCGGGGACGGCGGCCGGCGAATCGGTTTCGAGTTATCGAACGGGAGATTATTACGAACGACTAACTTGACTCGGTCATCTTATCACGGAGGCGCTGGTCTTTCTCGAAAGTGCAACGCCCGCCGTTCCGCTCGGTCGACGAGCCGGTCGGTGTCTTGGACAGTCTGGGACAGTCTGGGGCTGGCGGCGGCTTGCAGTGTCTGGCAGTGTACGCGTGGCGGAGGGACAGGAATAGACGGCGTGTTGGCCGCCCTGTGAAGCCCGAAAGGGCCCGAAGCTCGCGAAGCGATCATCGGAAGCGGAGACTTCGATTCCGCTGTCGGCCGATTTCGCTTCGCTTCGAAGAGGCCGGCCGGAAATGTGCCGAAGTGGTTTATGCTTTGAAACCGACGGGATGTAAACAGGCAGCCTGTGAGCGCGTGGCCCATGGTGGCCCGCAACCCCGGGACTCGAATTTGTCATCCACGTGCCGACAGGCGATTCTGATACAGCACCGCGTCGCGATGCGTGCGCAGAGGACCACCTGAGGACGTGGAGTCAGCGAGTCAGCCACCTCGAGGAGGTGACCTCTGTCCGCCCGTCCGTTCGCCCCGTGCGTTTCCACCGGCAGCCGAAACTGCCCAAACGGGCGGACGCGCAGCACGCGGAGCAGACGACGCGGGCCAAGTTTTTGAATGAGTCACAAAAGAGACGTGCGCTCGGCGCGGCTCGGCCGCCTTCCCCAACATTTCCGCTTTTATCCTTGTTTCCATGTTGTTGTTGTTTTTCACCCCTGCTTTTTCACGGTGGGGTTTCTCTGTCTGGCGGAGCCGCGGGGAGCGAGGGGAGGGAGGTCCTCGCGCGGGCTGCGCGGGCTGCGCGGGCCACAGGGGGAGAAAAAGAGGTATGCATGGAGATGGGTGCGGCCAGGACAGGCCAGGACAGGCCGGGACGAGGTGGGGGAGACAGGAAACAGGAAGTGGGGTCGGGTCCTGCCTGCGTCGGCCCGTGTAGCATAGACCTTCCGAGCGCACCTGTGTGTGTGTGTGTGTGTGTGTGTGTGTGTGTGTGTGTGTGTGAGTGTGTGAGTGAGCGAGTGTGTGCGCGTGCGTGGATGGGCAGCTCTGCGCTGCGCTCTGCGGCGGAAAGAATGCACACAGCCTGATTCGTCTGCGGACCGATTGCGTCTAGTGTCGCTCCGTCTCTCTCTCTCTCTCTCTCTCTCTCATTGCTAGGGCGTTCCGCGGGGGCGCGAGAGAGACAGAGCAGAGCTCTGGCCGTGCTAATGCCCCGCTAGGGCTCCGCGGTGATAGGCCCGATTAGGCCTCGCCAAAAACTTCCACTCTCTTGCGCGCCTTGCGCCACGCGGACCCACGCCACCACACTGTGAATCATCGCTTTCTTATCTGGCGGCGGCCACGTGAACAGGGAGTGGAGGTCAGACGGGCGACGAATGAATGAATGAATGAATGAATGAATGAATGAATGAATGAATGAATGAATGAATGAATGAATGAATGAATGAATGAATGAATGAATGGGCAGGTGTGATGGGTGTCTGCTTCATGGTAATCAGGTGAGTGCGCTTGTAAAAGGAAAACAGAGACCGCGGTGTAAACAAAACACAAGTCGCGGCGTTTTCCGAAGCCAGCTTCGTTGTGAGTCGCCGTCTGCTTGATGCACCGCAGCGCCAGCGCGGCGTAGCGGCCGCCACCCAAACTAATAAGCCCTCTCCTCTCTGTGACCGTGCGCGAGCAAGCGCGGGCGTGGCGGCGCGTGGCGCGGCGTGGCGCGGCGTGGCTGGGTGGGGCGGTCGCCGCGCAGGTCGCGGGTGGGGTGCGGGGGAGGGGGCGGGGAGGGGGGAGGGGGAGGGGGGACGCGCACAGCGACGGTCGGTCGGCGAGGTCGGCCTGACGTCACTCCCCCTCCTCGCCTCATCGTCGCCTGCAGACTGATTCCGCGAGTTTTCGTCGCTCTGTCTCTCTCGCACCCCAACGGCACGCCCCGTGAGTGCGAGAGAGACAGAGCGACGAAAACGACTCTCGGCCTGCTGTCTCGCGTCTCCGTCTCCGCCACGTCCATCGCCGCGGTCCGTCTCCGTTCAACCCCCGCCCTGCCTGCCCTGCCTCACGGTGTAGTGGGGGAAGGGGAGGGGGGGGGCAAGTATCGCGCGTCTTGCGTCAGCGTGGCCGTCGCACTGCCGCGTTCGAATTTTCCAATGGAGTGGCTCGCGGTGTGGCCGCCGTACGTACGCCCTCGCGGCACCGCCGCGACACTGTGCTAGCCTCGCCGCGGACGCGTCCGCCGTCCTCGGGCCGCTAGCCTCGCGCGGGGCGTCGGCGCGGTGCGCGATGGCGGTCCCAGAGGCATTCCCCTGCAGCCCGTGTGCCCCCACAGCCTAGGCGCACAGCGGACTCATTCCGAGAGTCGTTTTCGTCGCTCTGTCTCTCTCGCCCTCGTGGAGCTCTCCGTGAGGGTGCGAGAGAGACGGAGCTGCGGACCGCTCTTCTCGCGCACCACGTAGACGTACTTGTTGAGGCCCGGCGCGCGGCTTGGACCGCTTGAACGCTGGCTTTGGAGTGCAGGCCGCAGAACCCCTAGACAGTCTAGCGCGGTATTTGGGTTGAAGGGAGGCGCTTGTGATTTGGTCGAGTGATGGTGGCCGAACGCCGCAAGCGGCCGAGTGATTCTTAACAACCCATCGCCCCGTCCTTGTCGCACCCTCAGGGCGTGCCGTAGGGCCGTAGGGGTGCGAGAGAGACAGATGGACGCGACAAAATCCTTGGAAATGGCGCGACTGCCCGAACCGATCGGCAAGCGTCGGCCCGTGGCGACGCCGCGAAGCTGCGAGGCGAGCCCTGCGCATGGCGTCGCGCAGTCGCGCACCCTCCCCTCTAGTCTCGCGCGAGGCCCCGACTCTCCGACGCCGCGCCCTAGCCTCGCGGAGGGCCGCGCGACGCTGTGGCGACGCGGGATACTGCGCGGCGAGCTCCTACCGCGTGTTTACACATGCACAGAGCGGATTCGACCGCCACCCCTGCCTCACCCCAACAACAACAGCAGCAACAGCAACCCCTGCACTGCATGTGGCTCCCCGGATCACAGTGTATCACACCCCACTCGCAAATCGGCTCGCTAACGCCGTGAGCTGCGCTCTCTCGTTCATATCCATTCATTTGTCCATTCATTCCACCGGCTGCCGCCTGCCTGATCCGTGCAGTGCTTTCGTCGCTCTGTCGCTCTCGCACCCATGGAGCGTCCCGTAGGGGTGCGAGAAGGACAGCTACGAACGCGCTGTTCGGATTTCAGCCCAAAGTGGCGGTGATTGGCGGTAAATGTTGCAAAGGCGGTCATTTCTGTACCAGCAAATACGAAGTAACCGCCAGGAAGGGGTGGGAACGGTACCGCCTTTCGATTTCGAGTGTCACTGCGTGCTTGATCGATCTATCGATCGAATCAGTCGCGTGCGGTTCTTCGCGCTGATCGTTCGCGCCTTCGCCGAGAAGCCACTCGAGGGATCGCTGCTTCGGTGGATCGACGTCGGCGCACAGTGGGCCAGAAGACCGGCGGAGGCGGCCAAAACTCTAGACGCGTTTTGAGCTCCAGAGTCGATTAAATGGGACACAAACCAAACGTGTGACCCCACCAATGGATTCCTCGTTCGAAGAGCAATCCATTGGTGCGGTCACACGTTCGGTTCGAGTCCCATATAGCGACTCTGGAGCTCAAATCGCGTCTAGAGTTGTGGCCGCCTCCACCGGTCTTCTGGCCCACTGTGCGGTGTTTCTGCCCGTCTGCCCGTTTCCGCGGCCGGCCAGCGCGGCCAGCCACATCCGGGTCGAGGGACGGCGACAGTGCTGCCCCCTGTCGGCCGGTCGACCTTGGCGCGGCGTAGCAGCAAGCGTAGCGCAGCGTAGCGCAGCGTAGCGCCCGCGGTGTCGCTCCACTGGGAGTGGCTCGGCGATGCTCGGCGATGCTCGGCGACCAGACCCGTTCCGAACAGCGCTTTCGTCGCTCTGTCTCTCTCGCACTCGCGGGGCGTCCCGTAGGGGTGCGAGAGAGACAGAGCGACGAAAACGGCTCTCGGGATCGGCGAGACAGAGCGACGAGCTGCTGCTGCAGGCCAGTGCAGGCCTTCCGCCTCCAACGCTGGAATGACCAGCAGCAGACTCATTCCGAGAGACTCATTCGCTCTGTCTCTCTCGCACCCGCACGGAACGCCCCACGAGTGCGAGAGAGACAGAGCGACGGACTGCCGCCCCGATCGGGAGCGCCGCAGCGTGTTATCACCTGCATGCGGCGCTTATCGGCGATTCGGCCGGAACCGGACGTCGCTGCTTCTGTTTCTCGCTGGCCGGTGACGCGACAGGCTGTGCGGACCGATTCCGAGAGTCGTTTTCGTCGCTCTGTCTCTCTCGCACTCATGAGGCGTCCTGCAGGGGTGCGAGAGAGAGAGAGAGAGAGAGAGAGAGAGAGAGAGAGAGAGAGAGAGAGAGAGAGAGAGAGAGAGAGAGAGAGAGCGACGGAAACGACTCTCTGCTGGGTTCGACTCCGCTCGCCACCGAATTTTTGTGTCGTGACTGGTGGCTTCTTGGCGTGTCTGCCGAGCGATTCGGAAGAGTCGTTCCGTCGCTCTGTCTCTCTCGCACTCATGGAGCTCTCCGTGAGGGTGTGAGAGAGACAGAGCGACTGCTTGCGCAGGGCGGCGGGCGCGGCGGGCCGACGACGCGGCGATACAGTGCGATACAGACAGCGCAGCGCGTGGATGGAGCGGCTTGGCTTTTCGCGGAGGTCATTCACCGCCGCCAAGTCATCAAAATAAAACTGGGGTGCGCGCGAGACGCGCTGTCGGTGCCTTTTGACACGAGCGTCTCAAGGCGAGAGAGAGAGAGAGAGAGAGAGAGAGAGAGAGAGAGAGAGAGAGAGAGAGAGAGAGAGAGAGAGAGAGAGAGAGAGAGAGAGAGAGAGAGAGAGAGAGAGAGAGAGAGAGAGAGGTAAAGCGACGAAGTGCCGTTCGCCATCAGTCGTCTGCGTGCGTGGGCCGCTGGATGGTGCACCGTGTTGAAAGAAACTTTGCCTGCACCAACTTTGCAAACGTTAACATACTTTAATGTCATCATAGACGCGTAGAGGAACAATTTTCATAACGTAGGAGATCATCGTGACACTAGTAAAACATAATACTTTTCGACGAAAAGAATAAACTTACGGTACTCTAAACAACATTAAATATAGTAAACTCCGGAAATACCATCAATAGTTCGGATCGCGATCCTTAGCCGCGAGAAACAAACCTCACAATCCGCCACAACACCTAATCTACTATAAACATGCACGCAGGGCTTTGTACTCGAGTTTGCAGTGATGTCGGCCCACGGCTAAGGAGAATAATCCGGTCAGTCTTGGAGGGGTCTCGGCCTGCAGAGTGATTCCGAACCGCGCTTTCGATGCACTGTCTCTCTCAGGTGGCGCGGCCCCCGTCGCACAGTGGATTTGCCAGAAGACCGGTGGAGGCGGGCAAAACTCTGGACGCGTTTTGGGCTCCAGAGTCGCTAAATGGGACTCGAACCGAACGTGTGACCCCACCAATGGATTGCACTCCGAGGAATCCATTAGTGGGGTCACACGTTCGGTTCGAGGCCTGCCTAGTGACTCTGGAGCTCAAAACGCGTCTAGAATTTTGCCCGCCTCCACCGGTCTTTTGGCCCACTGCGTGTCGGTGCGAGAGAGACAGAGTGGAATCAGTGGCCCCCATCTGCGGGGGCCAGGCCACGGCGACGGTGATGGGCTCGGGGGCGTCGCGGTGGTCGCGGTGCGGGCCGGCCTGCCCCTCAGGCTGCGCGCCGTACACCTCGCGACACACCAGGTCCTGGATCCTGGCCCTCATCTGCAGCTTGCGCACCGGCTCCAGTCTGCGCACGTGCGGCAGCAGGCTCAGGAAGAAGTGGTAGTCCTCGTCGTCCACGAACACCTCGTCGATGGCGGAGCGCTTCACGCCGCGCGCACCTGGGGGCGTTTGGCGGATTAGCGTTTGCAAGTCGTCGTCGTCGTCGGCGTCGCCTCTCTCGCACTCATGGGGCGTCCCGGAGGTGCGAGGGACAGAGCGACGAAAACGACTCTCGGAATCAGTAAACTGCAGCTCAGTGGGCCGTTGGAGGCGGTCAAAACCCCGGCCGCGTTTTGAGCTCCAGAGTCGCTAAGCAGGGCTCGAACCGAACGTGTGACCCCACCAATGGATTCCTCGTTCGGAGAGCAATCCATTGGTGGGATCATGCGTTACATTTAGCGACTCTGGAGCTCAAAACGCGTCCGGGACTTTGACCGCCTCCACCGGTCTTTTGGCCCACAGTAGCAGCAGATCCTTACCCAAGTCGCGCAGCGTGCTGCAGACGCCGGCCGGCTCCATCTCGTGGTGCGCCAGGACCTCCTCGGCCGAGTTGTCATCCTCCTCCTTGTGCACGCCCATGAGGTAGTGGTAGCCGTTGGCCGCCTGCACGTCCGACCGCTTGGCCTTCATCTGCCCCTTGAGGAAGTACAGCGGCTTGAAGAAGACCCAGGGCGGGAACTCCTCCTGGGACAGGTCCTGGTCGAAGCCATTGGGGTACTTCCTCAGCTCCTTGCGGAACGTGTCACGGAGCCCCTTCCACTTCTTGCGCAGGTCGTCCGCTGCAACAACACGTTCACACTCCGGGAACTGTCGGGCCGCTTCCAAGGCACAGTGAGTGGCTCGGAGGCGTCTGAAGTTCTAGACGCGTTTTGAGCTCCAGAGTCGCTAAATGGGACCCAAACCGAACGTGTGACCCCACCAATGGATTGCTCTCTGAACGAGGAATCCATTGGTGGGGTCACACGTTCGGTTCCATTCCCATTCAGCGACCCTAGGGCCCAAAACGCGTCGAGAGTTTTGGCTGTCGCCACCGGTCCTCGGGCCAACGGCGCAAGCGCGCAGATCCAGAGGCCGGGGGTGGGGTGGGGGTGGGGTGAGAATTTACCCTTCTTAGCCCCTGCCACCTGAAAGGTAGGTAAAAGGCTACTTTTCCCCATCCAGACTGACTCTGGGAGAAGTGGTTTGTTGGCATACTCACGCGGCGCGGCGAACACCTTGGCCACCTCCTCCCACAGCACCTCGAGGACCTCCCGATTGTGGCGGTGCGGGTGCGCCTGGTCCCAGAGGGCGGGCCGCTTCTGCACCTCGTCGATGAGCAGCGAGATGTCGATCATGCCGCCGCGAGCGCGCACAGCGAGCACAGCGAGCACAGCGAGCACGCGGGCATGGGTCCTGGTGGTCCTGGGCGCCTCGAAGCACGCCGTCAGCTCGGCAGAGGCACTACTGAGGCCGCGCCGCTCGCCGCGCCCCGCCTCGCTCCGCGTCGCTTCGCTCGGGCCTCGTCGGCCTCGTCGGGCGGCGTTTCGCTCCGCGTCGCCTCGCTTCGGGTCTGTTCGCCGTGCCCCGCACCCCTCCCCTTGCCTTGCTCCCCTTGCTCCCCCGCCGCGCCTCGCCTCGCCCCGCCCCGCCACGCTCCGCCACGCCGAGGTTCGCCTCCGAGCGCAGCGATGCGAGTCGACGCGAACGCGGGCAGCACAGCGAGCGATTCCGAGCAGTGCTTCTGTCGCTGTCTCTCTCGCACCCACGGGGCGCTTCGTCACTTCGTACGCGTGCGAGAGAGACAGAGCGACGCCGCGGGGGAATACCCGTTCAGGTGACCGACGCGTTATCACCGCGTATCGCCCTGCGCCTTGTTTGGGGCGTGGGGCTGGCGGGGCCCCCCGCGGGGTGATGCTGAACGGTCGCCTGTCTCTCTCGCACACCTGCGGTCCTCGCCATGAGTGCGAGAGAGACAACGACTGAAGCACTGCTCGGAATCGGCCTGCCAGGGCGCCAGGGCCACCCTGGGCTGGGCACCGTTCCGGTCGACTGCCCGTCTTCAACAGATTGGCAGCGAAATTCGGTGACTGTGACCCACTCACGCGCGTGATAGTGGGCGTCCTGTACAGAGTAGCAACGCGGCCCCACAACAGCGCCACGAGGGCCCCAGACCGACCTTAGACGCGGTGGCCTGAGGGAGGCGCAAAGTATGGCTTTTTGTCTACCTTTCAGGCGGCTATCTAGGGGCTCGGGGGAGGGGGAGGTGGTCACCAGTCGCCCCCTCCCTCTCTCTAGATCCGTGCCTGCTGAGAGGTGAGCCTGAAGCGCCTGCCATCCAGCAGGGCTGCAACGCATCGATGTGGAGACGGTGGCCTACCTCGCCCCCGCGCGGCTAAGAGCTCCAATTAGAACTAAACGTGCTCCAGCCAGACTCCAGCCACACTGCAGGCGGCTGGAGGATGGAGCGCTGGAGCGCAGCCACACCGTGCTCGCCACTCGGGGCTGGCGGCGCAGCGCGGCGCGCGGCGAGGCAGTTGCCTAATAATTGTACCATGCCCCTCGGCCGGCCCGCCGGCCCCTTCCCTGTTGTGTAATCCAGCCTATGTACCGCCACCGCCACCGCGCGGCGCAGCGACTCAGCGCCAGCCCCGGTGCCGCGCTGCTCCGCGGCGCAGTGGCGCTCGATCGCGTAACCTGCCGTATGTCCACGCCGTACCCCGTACCGAGGCGTGCCCCCGGCCCTGCCCCACCCCGCCCCGCCCCGCCACGGCGGTGGCGGTACGGTTCGGAGTGTGAAAGTTCTTCACCTTCGACAACGCCCCGTCGCGCCCCGCGGTGCGCACCGTCGCCTGCCGGAACCTCACCTGCAGACCGACTCGTCGCTCTGTCCCTCTCGCACCTGCGCGGGACGCCCCAAGAGTGCGAGAGAGACAGAGCGACGAAAACGACTCTCGGAATCGGTCTGCTGCACCCGATTGCTGAGCAGAATGACGCGGGCCTCGGAAGCGAAGCGAGGGATGCCGCCCCGCCCCGCCCACGGCACTGCGAACCGCGCGGTACCCGTTTCATCCCCCGCTTCGCCGGCTATGAAAAATTGAACGCGGCCTGGAGCGTGCTGCGTTGCTGCGCGCCGCGCGCTGCGCTGGAGGGCGGGCCGCTGAGCCGCCGTGCCCTGCCGCCCTGCAGGTTCGTCCTTTCCATAACTTTGCCGCCCCCTGGAGACCAGGGCGGCCCTCGTGCCAGGACACGGTGACCGGAGCACCAGCACAGCGAGCACAGCCCAGCGCGCTGTCTCTCTCGCACCGCTACGAGACGCCCCGCGAGTGCGAGAGAGACAGACGCTGGACGCTGGAGCCCGCGCTGGAGCACGCGCACGCCCACTGGAGCGCCCACGCCGCGCCGCCCCGCTAGCGGCACCGACGTCACACCACTGCAAACTGATTCCGAGGGTCGTCGCTCCGTCTCTCTTGCACCTTCGCGGGGCGCTAGTGAGTGCGAGAGAGACGGCGATGGAAAAGAATCTCGGCAGTGAAGCCCCCGGACCGCGGAACGGCGCGAGGCGACAGGGCGTGGGCGTCCAGGGCGAAGGAGGGCCTTTAGGGGTAGGCGGGCCGTGCGGGGGCTGCTGGCCTGGCTAGGCCTGCCCGGCTTGCCCGGCTTGCCTGCGCGCTGCTGGCATTTGAAGGTCGTCCGGGCCGTACCGAACCGCGGCCCGCGCGCGGCAGCAGCGCGCCGGGTAGGCGGTACGCGACGGGGGGTGTAGTGGGGGTGTAGTGGGGGTGTAGTGGGGGGTGTGGCCACGGGGTTGGAAACAGGGGTGGCCGCGTCACACCCGCGTCACAGCGACGTCACGGTGACGTCATGGCCGGAGGAGTGGAGGGGGAAGGGGAGGGGGGAGGGGAGGGGGCAGTGTGGCGCAGGTCAGTGACGCGGGATCGGAGCGCGGAGCCTAGCGGGGCCTGCGGCCTGCGCGGGGAGCGCGGGGGGCGCGGGGCCTAGAACGCTAGAACGACCCGCCTGCTACTCGCGGTGCTCACGCTGCTCACCAAAGCGCGCTGCCCAGTGTTGCCAGGTCAGGTGAATGTCTGCGCGGGAATGCCCTCCAGCCGAGCCGGCAAATTTTAATCCACTCGGCCTCGAGCACCGTCACAACAATGGTGTTCTCCAGCTATCTGCCAGCCTGCCAGCGCACAGTGGGCCAGAAGACCGGTGGAGGCGGCCAAAACTCTGGACGCGTTTTGAGCTCCAGAGTAGCTGAACAGGACTCGAACCGAATTCGTGACGCCAGCAATGGATTCCTCCTTTGGAGAGCAATCCATTGGAGGGGTCACACGTTCGATTCGAGCTCCATTTAGCGACTCTGGAGGTTGAAACGCATCTAGAGGTTTCACCGCCGCCGACGGTCTCTCTCTAGCCCTCTGGTGCAGCGGTGTCTATAAGGACCAGAGCCTACTTTCTTGGGCTTCTTGGGCTTTCCCAGTGGCTCCATACCCAAAAGTAGTCAAAAACCCTCTCGATGAGCAGATTGAAGAGAGTTTGGAACCTCAGAAAAATTCTCTTGGACGGACGAAATGCTCCCGGCAGAAAAATCCTCTTTCAGATTTTTGGGTCACCCCCTGCGAAAGGAAATTCCCCCTAGAACGGCAGTGGCTGGTCTCGTCCCGGCGCTCAGACTGATTCCGAGAGTCGTTTACATCATCTGTCTCTCTCGCACCAGAACGGGACGGCCCATGCGAGCGAGAGAGACAGACAGAGGCAGCCTACTGCGACTTGGCTTTGCCGCACTTCTCAGATAAGCGGTCGGACTGACCTTGAGCGTCTCATTATCATTGCGGCCCGCCGGTCAAAGTCCCCGGGCCATGCCGGGCCAGGCCGGGCCATGGCGGATTGCACCGGTAATTGAAAACGACTGGGTCCCCTCTCTCTCTCTCTCTCTCTCTCTCTCTCTCTCTCTCTCTCTCTCTCTCTCTCTCTCTCTCTCTCTCTCTCTCTCTCTCTCTCTCTCTCTCTCTCTCTCTCTCCACACACACACACACACAACACGTCACAAATAAACCTTTCTTTGAAGAGCGCTCACTTGTTTCCAAGTTTTTTATAGGAATGGTAGCGCCTGTGAGGTAGGCCTCCGCCCCGCCCCGCAACGCACTGGTGTGGAGACGGTGGCCTACCAAGCCGCCGTGAAGACGGCAGGGGCAAGATAGGCCACCGTCTCCACACCAGTGCGCTGCGGGGCGGGGCGGAGGCCTACCTCACAGGCGCTACACCGAGCTTGCACTTGAGGGGCAGGACCGCGATTGGTGGAATGCCATTTCAGGCCCAGCCAACTGTTCATGGTTTTGGCAGGTGTTTTGCGGAATGTGGAGGCAATGGTGTCTGCGGCGTCTTCAGCCACACGTCGACTCGCCCGAGAGTCACCTTCGTCGCTCTGTCTCCCTCGCACTCATGGCGCGTGCCGTAACGGTGCGTGAGAGACAGAGCGGCGAAAACGACGACTCTGCCGGGCCAAGCTGGGCCGAAAGCTAGACCAGGCTAGGCCCAGCGAGTGGCGGCGCGGTCGCGTTTGGGTGGGACGGCGTGGACGGCGTGTAAATCGATGCCCACGAAGCAAACGCCCTCCCACACCACACCCTGCACCGCGTCTCATCGGCCCCAGGGCCCCGCGGGGGAGGGGAAAGCCCGAGCCGTACGGCCCGGCCACTACTAGGCACCGCCACGGGCGAATCTTTCCAGGAAGTCGCCGCCCCGCCAACACTGTCTCGGGGTGTAGTGGACTTTGGTGGTGTTATTCTGCTGAACTGACATACTTGACATACTGAGCGAAGAGCGTGTGACCCCACCAATGGATTCCTCGTTCGGAGAGCAATCCATTGGTGGGGTCACAGGTTCGATTCGAGTCCCGTTTAGCGACTCTGGAGCTCAAAACGCGTCTGGCATTTTGGCCGCCTCCACTGTGCGGGGGGTGCGGCCCACGCGGGCCCACACTGCAGGGACTGCCCGAATTGAACGGCGCCACGCGCGGGCCGCACGCGTGACGTCACGCCACTGGCGGAGTGGAGCCACGGAGCCACGGAGCGGTGGCGTGAGCGCGGAGTGAAGGTCGTTCTGGGGCCCACGGACCACGGACCAGACAGAGACAGAGACAGCGCACGGTGCGCCCGGTGCGGCCTCGCCGTGCCCCGCCGTGCCTCGCCGTGCCCCGCCGTGCCTCGCCGTGCCTCGCCGTGCCTCGCCGGCGCGCTGCTGGAGTCTCCTACTCTGAGACCACGGCGTCAGCGGGCACGCACGGCCCCGCAGCTCTGCGCTCGATTGATCGAAATTATCCGATTAATCGTCGAAAATGTTGGTTTGTTTGCCTGTAAAGTTAACTTTTTGCCTCTGGCGCTCTCCGTCTTGAAATCCGAAAAGTAGGTGCTGGCGGACTTCGACGCTAGACGGCTGTAGGTAGGGCTGGGGCCGCTAGGGCCCGGCCGAGCGATTCCGAAAATCATTCAGTCTCTCTTGCACCCCCTCGGAACGCACCGTGAGTGTGACAGAGGCAGAGCGTCGGAACGCTCTTGGGAATGAGTCCGCGGCGATGTGGCCGGTGGCGCACAGTGGGCCAGGAGACCGGTGGAGGTGGCCAAAACTCTAGACGCGTTTTGATCTCCAGAGTCGCTAAATGGGACTTGAATCAAACGTGTGACCCCACCAACGGATTGTTCTCCGAACGAGGAATCCATAGGTGGGGTCACACGTTCAGTTCGAGCCCCATCTAGTGACTCTGGAGCTCAAAACGCGTCTAGAGTTTTGGCCGCCTCCACCGGTCTTCTGGCCCACTGTGTGGCGTGCCGGTGGCGGCGTGGCGGCCGTCGTGGCTTTTCGGCGCAGGTGTCCCCGAAACCGTTATCGCTGTACGAGTGCATGCCCGCGGACCGATTCCGAACAGCACCTTCGTCGCGCTGTCTCTCTCGCGCACCTCCCGGACGCCCCCGAGTGCGAGCAAGAGAGGCGAGAGTGCTCGGAATGAGCCTGCTGGCTGATTGTGCCATCAGCGGAAGCACCGAGCCGCGCCCTAAACGGGGCGGCCATGCGGCACACAGTGGGCCAGAAGTCCAGCGGAGGCGGCCAAAACACCAGACGCGTTTGGAGCTCCAGAGTCGCTCAACAGGACTCGAACCGAACGTGTGACCCCACCAATGGATTCCTCGTTCGAAGAGCAATCCATTGGTGGGGTCACACGTTCGGTTCGAGTCCCATTTAGCGACTCTGGAGCTCACACCGCGTCTAGAGTTTTGTCCGCCGGCGCCGGTCTCCTGGCCCACTGTGGGGCACGCGGCGCGCGGCCCGGCCGGCCGCGGCTGCTACCCCGCACCTGGGGCTGCGCCGCGCCTTCACGGCGTAGTACTACTCCGAGCACAATGCGAGGGCTGCCTACCGCGCAGCTGCGCAGCCTGGCGCCGGCCGCCATTCATGGCGTAGTACTACTACCCGAGGCACTCAATGATCGAGAGGGCGGCCAACCCTTTTCAGCTCCACTCGCCGCCGTGGCGCCGCGGCGCTGCGCCGCGCGCCGCAGTCGAAGGAAGGACTCGGCCGAGCCGAAAGCCGAAGTCGCGCTCGGCAGCTCGGGTGGCGCCCGAAGCGCTCCGGACGCAGCCCGGGACGTTCGAACCGTTCGGCCTCGCCAGAGAGCAGGCAGCGCCATCTCACGGCGGCAGCGCGGACCTCGGGCCGGCATTCCCCCGCACCCCGCTGCACATCGGCCCTGGGCCCAGCCCCTCTCTCCTTCTCTGTCTCTCTGCAGTCGCGTGGCGGCGCGGGGCAGCGGCGAGTACAGTAAACACAAAGACGCCTTGGACGGCAGCGCCGCGGCGCCCATCGGCGCAGCCATTCCCACCACGTCAAGGGTCGATACCTATTGGGGTACCGCTTCAGCGCTTCGTTGCATGGCGGGGTGGCAGCCAGCCTGGCCAATTTGTTTCCACCACGGGTTCGCGGGTTCAACCACCACCACACCTCGCGTTTTCCTTTTCCGCTGCCTCTTCGGGAGTCAAAGAACGGGAGCGGGTTGTTGGCGCTCGCTACACTACCCTGTCGTGCGGTGTAGTGGCGCTGTGACCCCCCGACACCCTGCCGTCCGTCTGCTACTCTGTTTACCGATCATTTGGGGTGGAGGCGACAGCGAGAGAGCGAGAGGCCAAGTGCCCGACCGCGGTGTGGCCCGACTCGGCAGCCGAGCCTTCCCGCAGGATCGTTACGTCTCCTCTCTCTCTCTCTATCCCCCTCTCTCTCTCTCTCTCTCTCTCTCTCTCTCTCTCTCTCTCTCTCTCTCTCTCTGTCGCGCTTATGGTAGGCACCATAGGGGTGGGAGAGAGACAAAGCGGAACCGCTCCGCAGGACTCCACGGCGAGAAGCGACGGGGCGACGCAGCGACAGCGTGCATATCGATCAGTCCAGTCCAGCCAGGAGGCGCGGGGCGTGGCGGGGCGTGGCGGGGCGGACCCTGGGCCGCGGGGTTGAGCTGTGGGGTGACGGCGTGACCCTAGACCACAGCAGGCCGACTCCGCACAGCCTTTTACGTCGCTCTTTTCTGTCTCACTCGCACCCCTACGGAACGCCCGAGGGAACGCCTCATGAGTACACCCCTAGGGGTAGGTTGGGGAAGAAAAGTACGCCCCCGTTGCGGCCTACTGCTCCAGTCCATGACATCCGTTTAACAGTGTTTTCACACTCAGATTTTCATGTTAAGTTGAAATTACTGGTCGAGGGATGGCTAAAAGTCAAGATATCAGCTCCACAAGGGTTGTACTTTTCTTCCCCGACCTACCCCCTAGGTGCCCTGCGCTCTCCAACGAGTTTCATTTCGAAGCGGTGTCTGGATAGGAGTTGCTGGGTGAGGTGAAAGAAGAAGACACTGGATACTGTTAATTTTTACATTTATTTGGCACAAAACCAAAAGAGAAAAAAATAAATTTTCATTGCACACCAGATGGAAAATTAGTAAATGCATCACAATTTAATTAGCTGTTACACTTAGATGATAAATACTTATAAAATAATGTGAGAAACATATAACATCAACAATACACAGAAATTATGCATTAACACTTAGGTCATAACAAAGAAGTAAAATATTTGGTTTATGAAAATAAAAAGGAACGATTGCAAACATGCAACTATGAAAAGAGAATATTTGATTGCATCACTAAAAAAAACAGATGGCGGTGCTGAATTGAATACTGCTCAACCAACAAACAATAGGCCCACACATTTTTCACTACTAATTAATAATATCACACACCCTACAAGTAGGACAATGTGTCACAACATCGGAAAATAATAGTACAGTCTTAATCCATGAACAATGTTCCCTAAAACTGATTTAATCACTAAACTGACTAATTTGGTATCCAAAAGTACTACCAAGAAAATCTCTAGAAAGGAGGCACATCTTGCAAACTTTACCACAAAAGGGATGAAGCAGGTAATTCATAGGACAATATGTACACTTGTGAAGTGCTCTGTTCATAAATCTTAATCCATAGTTATTGCACCTTAATTATAACACAAATTTCAGGCACTATGTGAACATGTCATAGTTCTTTTCTAAGGCAGTCCAACAATGCTTTTTTGAGACAATTTTGAGACAAAATAAAGCTTTTGAAGCTTCTGTATCATTGCGCATTAACATAATGAGGACAGATGCCTCCCCAGTCACATAAATAGAAGAAAAACACAAAACAAAACAAAAATTCACAGATTATCTAAATAAAATCACCACAATAAATTTGTAAGGAAGATAAGCAAACCTTAAATACATAGCAACCACATTCACACTTAAACAATATATGCAAAAGACTTAGATGTAAATATAGTACAACAATAAAGCAATAAAACAGAATTCATACACTTAATATCTAAGTGTAGGTCTTGAGAAAATGTTAACAGCTTACCAATGCACTTAAGTCTATTAACAGAACATAAGAGGACAAAGAACAAATGACCAGAATATAGTATCATGACTAACTTAACTAACATAAGTACGGCACTCAACAAGTCTACAATTATTGGCAGTGTAAGGTTGTGGACAGAAACCTCAAATCTATACTAGTGTTAATGTGATTGAACTTTTACCAACAATGACAGGAACAAGATCCATCTACTTCAAAAGGTTCTACCAGGCTGAATATGCTTATGGTAATTATCAACCAAGATGTCTCTTCACCTTCACCTTGAAAAGTACAATAAATTAAGAACCAACATAAAGAAAAGTAAAAAACAAAGACGGTTGTTTCTGGAACACATCATCATCATAGGCAGTCACCCATAAATATTTGTAAAAAGGGGAAAATGCTGTTTACAACAGGATGGACACCTACCAAACATGCAATGTTATTAACACTAAGGCAAACAAATGCTTAAAATAGTACACCAAGAAAAGAGAGAGATACAAGCAAATTCAATCCAAAAGGAAATCTTCAGTAACCACCAATTTTACACAATTTAATGGAATATTATTTAACAAAATGGCTTAAAGCAAGAATACTGCATTTAATACAGCAAATATCACAAAAATGAATTATCAGCTGGGGCAGAGATAACGGCCACTTCTTGGTCCGCACTGAGCAAGGTGATACCCCTCCCCTTATCACAGTCTACTAGAGGCAGCACCGCACAGCATCACCTCAGAGCCAGTCAATAGAGGATATGATAAACTACTATCCGAAAACAAAACTTGATATTCTACAGGTTCAACACCAGCAACAATACAGTTATCAGTACAATATTTGCTGACCTGATCCCGGCATACATTGAGACAGGGGCATTACAATGATCCCAATAGTAGGAACCTTCTTATTTTTAGCTGGTTTCTTACAAACAATATGGTCAAAATTTAAGCTATTAGTCTCAACATTTTCACAGCTCAAATTATTTATATCAACAGACTGCTTATCTTGTAGCATTCCTAGGGTAATGCTTCCATTGAAATTGAGACTTGTGTTACTCTTAGCATTGATTGTTACATTACTGTTGATCTCTGCAGAAGAAACATCACAGGAAACAGCCATTACAGGCAGATCCAGCGTATCACTAGGTGAGTCTTCAAACTTTGAAAAATAAAGTTAAAACATAAAATTATTGGTTCAAAACCACACAAGAAAACTTGTATTGAACACATTAAATACATACTTGTTGATTTGAAATTGTATAGTGACGCTTGTTCACAGAAAACTTTGCAATTTGCCTCTTACAGAAGCTGCAGTTAGTTAACTGGTGTTCTGTGTGACTTAAGACATGAGCCTTCAACTTATCTGCAATAGAAAGGAAACAGAGAAAATTAGAGACAGAGAAAACAGAGAAAATTGGGACTTTTATAGAGACTTTATAACTTTCTCTAAATCAGAGCCTCCTTAAAGTAAAAACCAAACTAACCAGGTCTTGTAAATTGTCGATTGCACTTCAGATGTGCTTGAAATGGACACTGTTCTCCATCAGAATGTATCTTAAGGTGCCGAGAAAGCCTGTCTTTCCTGGCAAACTTTGCCGGGCATTGCTGAAAAAAGTGAACATTGCTCCAAAGACAGCTCAAGAGTAGCAAAAGATACAAATCGCAAGGAAACTTGCAACCACTTACAGAACACGCGAAAGGCTTATCATCTCGATGCATTGCGAGATGAGTATTGAGGTAGAGAACAGTCTTGAACCGCTTGCCACATTCTTTGCACACAAAGGGATGAACTGTGCTATGAGTACGAAGATGACGACGGAGACTTCGTTCACAAGAAAATATTCTTTTGCACTCTGGACAAGGTAGGTCATGACTGACTGTTCTCAGGTGGTTCTCTAGGGCTTCTTGAGACAAAAATGTGCTTTTGCATTTATGACATTTTGCATGGTACCTGAGTGTAGCAAAAGAGAAAGGTCAGATTATTGGTCACCAAAGCCACCCAGGCATCAAGATTAATAACTCCTGCAAAATACTTACTTCTTTGATGAGGAGTTCTCTGAAATGGTGTGTGCTTCCATGTGCTGGGACAATTCTGGAGGACTTACAAAAGTTTCACCACAAATATTGCAAGGATGGAAAGCGTTCCCTGGCGCATGTTTGTTAACATGCGTCACAAATGACTCCAAATCAGGAAAAGTTTTTTGACAATTATTTCGGGGGCAAAAAAACACCTAGTCACAAGAAAAGACAGACATGTTTGTCATGAACAAATTTTACACTCTCCTCCCACATCAAAAGGAAAAATTTCAAAAGACAACAATGCAGCACATACCTTTTCATCCTGATGTGTCTTACGATGAGTTTTCAGTTCAAAGTAAGAGACGAATGCAGCACCACAAAATTGGCAAATGTATGAGTTATCAACAATACACTCTTCAGATATGATTTCCCATCCATCATTGTCATCATGCAATCCCTGGTCATTATGCAAGTCCTGAAAATGGAAAGGAGTAACAATTATTGCAAGTTCTGTATTTCAGATAGAATCTTTGTTGCATTTTAACTCACTTTATCTGAAGCTGATTGAACGTTTTCCTTAAACGATACCGAGCTGCTGAAATTTTTCTCAACCTCCCCTTCCTCAAAAATGATAGACTCTGTTGTTGTTACTGTTCCTCCCTTCTTTTTATGACACACTTTTTGAATTGCATTCTTGGAAAGAGTTGAAACACTTTTGGACCAAATCTATCAGCACAAACAAGTAAAATAAATTGTAAGGAACTTGTACAAATTAAGAAAGACACGAGACCACAAAAATAGGAATTAAGGTGAGGGACTATTTAACTCATACAAGTAACTTACCTTGTGAGTACTGAGATGCTTAGTCAAATTGGATTTTTGTGTGAATGACCTCCCACAAACAACACACTGGAAGGGCTTTTCTCCAGTGTGGCTGCGCATATGCTGTCGTAAATCAAAATGCTTGGCAAATTTTTTATCACAGTGATCACATGACAACTGCAAAAAAATAAAAAAGAATAAGAAAAACACAATTAAAGATGTTCAATAAAGTTTTAAGAGTTTAAAGCAAACTAATTGCATTCAATTATACCTTAGGTGTTCTTTTCTCCCATAGATTTTCTCGTACTCTTGAGGCTTTTGTTGGGATTGAGTTAACTGAAGCTGATACTGGATTCTCCAACTCCCCTGCTGAATCCAAAGTACTGCTGTTTTTCAAATTTTTTACAGGGTTAGCTGAATTATCAGTATTGAAAAAGATCACAGAAGAATTTTTCTTGTCATGATCGACAGGAATGGTAGATGGTTCTGAAGATTTATTCAGTGTCCCCAATTTTTTGGCAAGGGTCATCTCTTTATCTATGTTTTCAATCATTCTTGAAGATATGTTTGAATTGAAAGGTTCAACTTTCGTACCGTCAATGCTTTTTCTTGGCACTGTAGCATTTGACTTCAAAATTGTTAGAGACTTGTCATCACCACACGGTGAGGCATTTTTAATTTCTTTAGATGGTAGTAAAGAAACTTCATGCAACAATTTATGTGAACTGTTCGCAACAGATTTCTGAAACTTGTCTACTTTTGACTTACTCTCTTTACGCTTCTTAGAAGGCGATTTTTCCTGGGACAAAACTCCATTTTCAACAGCATCAGTTGTATCTGTCTCGAGATGGAATAGTTCACTGGATAACCTGATATCTGGATTCCAAAGTTTGCTGAAAGTAGTACTCTCCTCCTCATATGCTGAGTAAACAACTGATACACAATCATAGAGGTCCACCGAGGGCAGGCACATTCCTTCAAACTCTTCATCTTTCCCAAGAGTATTTGGTCTTTCAACAGAGCTGTTGGCAAGTGAATTGGGTAATGAGATACTGGACTGGCCAGAGACTTTTTCACTATCATGCATCGAAATGTTTGTTCTAGACATTGGGAGCTGCCCATGTTTCTTCAGTTTGGCTTCATTGGCATCTAAGCTCTGCTTTCGCTCTTGATCACTGCTTTCTTGTTTGCTCCAGCTTGGAGAGATTGGCAAAGGAACATTGTCTTCAAGAGCAATGTTGCCAAGGTAAAGGGTATTATCTTCTGATGTAGAAAAATCTTCGTGCTCCATGGAATGGGCGAATTCATCATTTGAGTCACCATGAGGTCCAGGTAATATAATTTCTTGTTCACCCACAAAGTTACCATGATCAATAAAAATAATATTTGATTGATTTGAATCACAGTCGAGTTCAACCATAATGTTGCTGGGGTGAGACACATCATTAAAAAGCTCTACGGACATCATGTCACTATTGCCATAGTTAGTTTCATTGAAGGCATTGCAGGAATTAGATGTATCACAGTCACTAAGTGTGGGTTCACAATTGCTCGAGGAGCTGCTATTATCACATATCTTGTTAAGATTAAGACAACTTTGAGTTTCATCTTTAGAAGGGGTGTTCTCACACTGAAAATTATTTTCCATTTTGCGAGTTTTGACTTCTGGAAAGAAATTGCTCTGAGTGCAATTATCATCTTCAATAGCGTGTCCTGACAATATCTCCTGCTTAGTGTCACTTTGAGCTTCCTCAGTGACTTTAAGGTCATGGGTATTGTTGCCAGTTGGTTTGTTGACAGATTGTTCTTGACTGACACTATTACTAACATCATTTTTCTGGACGAGTTGGTAGTCATGGTCAAGTGCACTCGGCCACAGACTATCACTGCTGCCATCGACACTCTTCCAAACAGTCTGTGGTCTGAGAGAGAGATTACTTTCTGCCGAAACAGATGAGTCCTGGTCCTGTTCTATACCAGCAGCACTCGAGTCTTCATCAGGAGGGCCTTTATCAATTGTATCAAGAATGCCTATTTCTTTCATAATGGAGGCAACAGAACAAACTTCAAAATGGGATTCATGACCATTTCCAGCTAAATCAGACTTAGATTTGGATTTATCCACTTCATTTAGAGGTTTTTCAATTCCTGGTGCGCTTGATTCTTCTTCATTCCAAGAGCCAGTCCTTAAGAAGCAAGACTTTCGCGTGTTCTTAAGATCAACAAAATTTTTGCTCCTGTTATCAAAATGATGATTAGAATTGAAGTTGCAGTCCACCTCGAGGTTATTACAAATAAGGTTGCCTGTGCTGGTTCCTTGATCAATTCGCCTGAACTGAAGATCCTGGCAAGTGTATTCCGGATTCAATAGCTCCTTATTCTCCGCTGAACTGTTCTTTTTTGTAACCTGTTCTGTGGACTCCACTTGCTGGTTCTGGTTCCCACTGATAAAGGAATTATCTTGAGGGATTGTTTCACAAGGTTCCATGGAAACTCCAGTGCATTCCTTCACTGTGTTTTTTGGAGAGCTGCCACAACCAGAAGCAAAGGAACTGCATTTATCTAGGCTTTCGCAAACACATCCAAGCAAGCCACAAGGAGGCCTTGAAGAAGTACATGATGGGGCATCACCATGTTCTTGGGGCATACATTCCATTTCAAGAGAGGTTTGTGGGACATTACGGCCCTCTTGCAGGGCATTGGAATCATTTTCAAACAAATGGGAATTCTGATTGCTTTGTTGACCAGCAAGGGAAACAAGAGGTGGGACCTCAGAATTCGGGGTTGTACTGTTCACAAGTGACGACACCACTGAAGAATCGGAGAGAAGTGGCAAACCAATATTCATGACATTCGTAGACTCAAGACTAGCAGAATCCAGAAGTTCGTGTTGATTAGTGGACTCAAATTCTTCAAGGAGTTCACAACTTCTTAAGTAGTCTTTGCTTGTTTCAAGCAGCAATTGTTCAGAAGGCAGTACTGCAGTTGATAAACTTCCAGATATGGTAATATCTTCTGAGTTTGTTGATGCTTCATTCAGGTACATTTGTTTTTCACCGGGATATGAAATTTCAGTCAAAAGATTATGATTGCTGAAGTTAATGTTGTCTGTAACTTTTTTAGCATCAGCGAAAAAATTCTGCTCATCAGAAAATCTAGATGTGATGAAATTGCTATTACCAGAATCACCTTTTTGAGCAGGTAACCAAACATTATTGTTAGATGCACAAGTTTCATCTGACAAAAGTTTATGTGGAAGCAAGGAGGTTCCCAGGTGACGAATAGACGAGGGTGCAAAGGAATTACTGGATAGCTGAAAAATGAAAGCAGAAACAAAAATAAACATGGTGATGCACGAACTTAAAGTTATAAATAACTATCATCTGATCTCATCTTACCTCATTAGCATCATTCAGATTCAAAATACTTTGCTCAATTGGAAAGTTTAAGCTGTCAGCATCAGAGAGCAGCAATGGCTGACCGATGTCATCAGAGAGGTCATCAAAAGCTGAACCACCAAGTGAATTGTAGCTTAAAACGTTATTTGTGTCATTCTGCCCTCCAACTCTCAGACTTTCTGACAGATCAAACTCTTCACAAGTTGTATCTTTCAGCAGCTGGGTACTTGATAGACATGTCTCCGCTTCATGTTCGCTGGATGCTGTGGTGTTCAAGTTACGATTCAGATCTCTACTTATGTTGAGAGCCAAACTCTCATTCAATATTCTTGAAGATGAAGCTAAAAGCAAGTAAACAATGAATAAAAAGTCAAATAACAGAGAGATATAAGTCTTTCTTCATGCTAACAGAAAAATGAACTCACATGCTATTTGATGGTCTTGCTTGTGTAACATAAATTGATGAAACGATGTGAATACTTCTTTACATCTTCCACATTGGAACACATCATCCTCATCTAAAGTTATCTCAGCTAGAAAAGAGCAGTTTAAGAAGGTTAACAATGAAAGTTATACTTTTACTCCAAGTGAAATCATCAATGAGATTTGCATTTTTGCTCACTTGTAGGTGAAGGCAAAAAAGCTGTCTGAGACAACAAATTAGAATGAGTTGCCAATAGAGACTGTACACTTAAATCACTTGGTGTGTCCACCAACACCCCTGTAAAGAAAGTAGATGTTTTGGGTGAGGTACAAACAAAATGGTTGAGAGGCCATGGTGTCACAAATGAGGAAAGACAATAAAAATAGTAATATGAAACCAAGAATTTAGGATCTACAATACATGCTGCAAAGCAAAACACTCTTAACCAGAAATTTAAAGAGTTTCAGCAATTAAATAATCAAATGGCATGGTGGTAATGCAGAAGTAGAACTCAAAGCTTTAGAACTACACACTGAGAGGTTAAGGTCACTGTGACAGTTGGCTGTACACAAAAATAGACCATGGTGATATGCAATTTCAGCTGTACAACTAATGAAGAGATTGTTCACAATACCTCCTAATGTGCTTAAAGACATCGTCGGGTGTGGTAAATCTTGAGCAAACTCCAACCTCACGACGCTAACATCTTTGGTCGCAAAGACATTCTGAAATAAATTAGAATGTCTCGTTTTAGTTACAGAGCGGAAGAATCTTCTTAAACAAAATGTGCAGACGGTTGCTATCGGCGCAACAACAAACAACAGTGAAAATTCAACATAACCATACCCTGAAAACAATCCCAACTTTTTTCCAAACCAGCGGCGTGTTTTCTCATCACCTTCCGCTTTCCACTTCCCGTCCAGTATGGCAAATCCACCGATCAGATGAGACGCGTTTCCTGGCTGTGACCCGCCTTACGCCACTATGACAAATCCTCATGGATGCAGTTTTCGAGGGATTTAAAGAAGAAAGGATAGGAAACGCACTTGCTGAAATCAGGCTGCCCCTTGAAAAATGTGATGAAATGTTGGGACTGGAGCCGGGGGGTTTATGGTTGGCGACAACGTGTGGCTTTGGATCGGCTTGGATTCTCCTTCAGTGCCTTTCATGGCCTGGCCTTCCCCGTGAGCGTGCCGTCGGCCTATCTGTCTGTGACTTCAGAAAACTTGACCGGCAGTGCCACCCTTCAGTTAGTTTCCAGCGAGCCGCGTGTACGATGGGTGGCCTACCCACACGGCTGCAGTTCCTTGTCCCTCCCGCCGCGCCGTCGAAGTGCGTGTTGTGGAAGCGCACCGGGCCACAGCAAGGGTGGGGCCCGGATGGGGCCACCGGAAGTAAAAAGACAGAAAAAGGAGGAGGAGGGGGCGAACGAGGGCCGCGCTGCCAACTTCGGGAACGGACGTCGCGGACGTTCATCGCGGACGGACGCGGGCAGCCGTGGCCGGCGGTGAGCGCTCTCGGACATTCCGCTTTGGGGTCAAGCGGTTTTAACAAAGCATTTTGGGGCAGACTAATCTCGGCCGACGTGGTGCCACGAGCCAAAGTCCAGGCGTTGGTCGCGGAAGCGGCCCGCCGTGGTGGCGTCCGAGAGTCGGCGGGGCGGAGGCGCGAAGGCGTCGGAGGTCGCCAGGGACGTGGGCGCAACCCGCCAACCAACCCTCCGCGGCCAGCCGTGCCCGGCCGACTTTGTTGTTGGCGTTGTTGGGCGAGTTGGAGGGGGTGGAGAGAGTGGAGGGGGTTGAGGGTGGCTCGGGGCTGGCGAACGGGCGAACCCTCACCCTCGCGCCGTCCTTGTCCGAGGCCCCGCCCAGCCCGGCCTCGCAGCTGCCCGACGAGGACGGCGCGAGGCCGCGCCACGCGCGACGCCAGCCTCGACGCGGACGCGGCCGCGAGACGCCGCCGAGTCCGCCATGCTGTGCTCGCCGTGCTGCTCCAGCTGAGCGTGCTGCCTGGTGCTGCATCGGGGCAAGGCAGGGGGGTCGGACGGGACGGGACGGGAACGGGACGGTCGGGAGGTCGGGACAGTTGTCAATAGAGCAGCCGCGCGCGCGGAGCTACGCGGAGCCAGCCGTGGCGCAGGAGCAGCGCAGTCAGGAGCGCGCCGTGCCGCCCAGCGCGTTGACGTTGACGTCCATCCAGAGCAAGAGCAGGCCGAGTACGCGAGCACGCCGCAGGCCAAGCCGCAGGCCAAGCCGCAGGCCCCACGGCCCCACAGGGCGCAGCGTTCAGGCAGCGCTCAGGCAGCAGCGGGGCTCAGCTCGGCCAACGGGGCGTCGCCACGACCCCGCACCACGCTACGCCGCAAGCCCCGCCACGCCCCGCCACGCCCCGCCACGCCGCCCTGTTGCTCTTTGTTGCTGCAAGATTCGTAAGCACGGTGTGAGTGTGCAAGGCGCGCAAGGCCCAGGATGGAGGCGCTGGCGCCGCTGGCCGTCGAGCACCGCCTCGTGCTGCTGGCCGTGGCCGTGGTGGCCGTCAACTACCTCCTCGGCTGGACGGCGACCGTCGCCGCGTCCACGCAGATCGTCCTCGCCGTGCTCGCCGTGGTGGCCACGCGCTACCGCCGCCGCCTACTCATCGTCTGCAGGACACTGCCCCGCGACCTGACGTGAGTACACAAAAGAACGAGAGCGCCCGAAAGCCACGCGGGTTTTCGTTTTCGCGAGTGCGTCGCCCAGTGTGTTGCACCACTTTGGCTTGCAGCTTGCAACCGTCCCGGTGAGACCAGCCCAGCCGGGCTCAAGGCCCTCATGGCTGTCGTTGCGTCCTTCGCGTTCGGATTGCATTGCTAGCACACTGCGAGCAGGGTTTCGCAGTGAAAAGGCCACCAGGGAGTCGGGAGACAGTAAGATTTCGAGAGTCGCTGTCTTCGCTCTGTCTCTCTCGGACCAGCACGGCGCGCTCCTTGAGTGCGAGAGAGACAGCGATAGCGGCTCTCGGCCGGCATCAGTCAGCTGACCGAGGTAGCCGGACGCGAAGGTGTTAAAAGAGTTAAGACCGGCGCACACCTGCAGGGCAGGAGAGCGTCTTGCACGTGTTACTCGTGATGCACGTTTGCGTGTTAAGTGCTCCGGAAAAAAGAACTCTCCGGCGGGGAATCGAACCCCGGTCTCCCGCGTGACAGGCGGGGATACTGACCACTTTACTACCGAAGATTCATGTATGGCGACGTTCTCGCTGCGCTTGCAATTCGCGTCTCAGCAGTTTCGTCACATTACCGAAGACTTTCCTTCTCGCTGGCTTGCAAAAAGCGTCTCCGTTTCGTGGAATTCGAAACTCCGTTTTCTCCCAAAGACTCGGCGGGGATCACGGTTACCCTGACAGCGGTAGACCCTACCGAAGATTGTTGGAAGGGGGACCCGAGCGTGCATGCCACAATGCGCCGCACGCGAAGCGCGAAGCCGCGGAGCCGCGGCGCGTGGAGAGGGGGGCGCGCGGCGTTGCCAGACCGCGCGCCTTTGGTCCTTCCCGGCTTGGCTTGTCTCCCACGTCGCCCTGTTTGTTTTGGTTTTCGTTTATCTCCAGATTAATATCGCCCACCCCTCGGTCCTCGGTTCCAGGTGTACTTCCTGCACGAGTGCAGTAGAGTCCTGCAGTGTAGGTAGAGCCCCCCAGTGTAGGACTCTACAGTGCAGCGAGCCGCGGCGCACAGTGTGCCGGAAGACCGGTGGAGGCGGCCAAAACTCTAGACGCGTTTTGAGCTCCAGAGTCGCTAAATGGGTCTCGAACCGAACGTGTGGCCCCACCAATCAATGGATTGCTCTTCGAACGAGGAATCCATTGGTGGGGTCACACGTTCAGTTCGAGTCCCATTTAGCGACTGGAGCTCAAAACGCGTCGAGAGTTTTGGCCGCTGCGCCGGTCTTCCGGCACACTGCGCCCCGCTCCTCCCAGTGGCGGATCCAGAGCCGGTCCGAGGGAAGGGCAAAGTGTGGCTTTTTGCCTGCCTTTCAGGAGGCACATAGGGGGGGGGGAGTAGTGCCTTAATTGTCCTCCCCCCCTTGATCCGCGCCTGTGCTGTGTCAGCCCCGTCAGCCCCCTGTAGGCCGTGAGGCTGGAGCGTGCTGGAGCGGCCATCGCGGCTGCATGGCACGCCGCGTGCTGATCCTTCGCTCCGTCTCTCTCGCACCCACACGGGACGCCGCTTGAGTGGGAGAGAGATAGAGCAAGAGTGCGGCTGGCCGGCCGGTCAATCTTCCAATTGAAACCGCCCAGTGTGGTGGCGAAGGGTCCGGAGGGCTTCAAGGTGGACGTGGAGCCTCTCGTCGCGCGCCGTGGCGGTGCCGGCAGCAGGCGTTCTCGACGGTCCTTCTCTCTCGCACTCATGGGGCGTCCCGTATAGATGCGAGAGAGACAGAGCGACGGAAGGCGATGCCGAGGCAGGAAGGCAAGGCGGTAAGGCCCTGACCGTGACCATGGAGTATGACCATGGAGTCCTTGCCATTGCCATGACCATGACGTCAGGTCGGCTCGCTCGGCAGTGCATCGCCGCGTCGCCCCGTCCAGGCCTCTATTTCTGCCCAATGGCCTATGGCAGGCAGGCAGGGATCGAGAGCGAGAGCAAGCGAGAGATGGAGAGGCCTCGCGTTCGCGTGGACGCTGGTACGCTGTAAGCGTTCTAGCCAAGGCTGTTCGCGCGTCGCGCCTCACGCCGCAACATGCTGCGGTCAAATTTGGGCTCGTGGCGGAGCGGGCGGAGCACGTGGTTTTGTCGCTCTGTCTCTCCCGCACCCTCACGGAGAGCCCTATGAGTGCGACAGAGACAGAGCGACGAGGCGTCTCTTCTGAATCGCCTGGCAGTCGGCAGTCCCATCAGGAACAACGCCACACACCTTTCGCACGCCCCCGCATACGTCCAGCTGTTCTCCGCGCCCCGCCCCGCCCCGCCCGGCCCCGCCCGGCCACGCCCCGCCACGTTCGTCCTTGGCGCGACCTCCAGGCTCTATCCTCTGCCTTCCCGTGTCCATGCACAGCATCATCAAGTAGGCGGCGTGTGGTGAGAGGGTGCCAGCGGCACGGGGAGGAACCCAAGTATTTACTGTGTCGTTCCCTTTCTAGAACTCATCAGACCTTCCCCTCTGTGTTGCTTTCGGGCGGGGGCGAAGTCGCCCCCATTCCAGCAGGCTGATTCCGATCAGTGCTTTCGTCGCTCTGTCTCTCTCGCACTCACGGGGCGCCTCACATAGGCCTGCTGGGCGCAGGTCAAGAAATGGCCGGGGATGTAAATGGCGGCAACCCGTTTCCCCGTTCGGGGGGTTCGCGTGCGCCGGCGCCTCCGCGAATCGATACTGTACTCCCGCCTTCGTGCCCGGAGTCCGGAGCGCCTGGAACCCCGCCCCGCGCCGCCCCGCCCCGCCCCGCCAGCGCCAGGCCGCCGACGGGAGCGCCGTGCGGGTAGGCACCCCACTACACATGGCGCGCGGAGTACTGCCTACCCGGCGGGCGCCGCCAGAGCTTGAACTCGAGAGGCTGGACCTCAATGGATCGCCTGGCATTGCGTGGACAGACTGTCCGTACAAAGGGAATGGGGATCGGTTGGCCCGGCCCCACAGTGTGTGAGCTGTTCCGTCCGTGTTGCAGGTTCGTGCACCGCTACCTGTGCATCAAGTGGGCGGCTAGCAGGTACCGGCGCAACAATGACTCCGTGCCCGTCATCTTCGGCAAGGGCGCGCGCCGCCACCCCGACAGGGTGCTGCTGCGCTTCAACGACGAGCAGTGGACCTACAAGGACGTGAGTGCACTAACGTGTCTTATTATTCCAGTAGCGGGCTGCAGCAGACTGATTCCGAGAGTCGTTCTCGTCGCTCTGTCTCTCTCGCAGTCATACGACACGCCCTACGAGTGCGAGAGAGACAGAGCGACGAAGACGACTGTCGGAATCAGCCTCCTGGTTCGGAACAGTGCTTCGCCTCTGTCTCTCTCGCTCCCGTCGTTCCACGCATGCGAGAGAGACAGAGGCGACGCACAGTGGGCCAGAAGGCCGGTGGAGGCGGACAAAACTCTCGACGCGTTTTGAACTCCAGAGTCGGTAAAAGGGACTCTAACCGAACGTGTGACCCCACCAATTGGATTGCTCTCCGAACGAGAAATCCATTGGTGGGACCACATGTTCGGTTCGAGGCCTGCTTAGCGACTCTGGCGCTCAAAACGCGTCTCGGGTTTTGTCCGCCTCCTCTGGCCCACTGTGCGACGGCAGCGCTTTTTTCGTGTTTTTCTTTTCCGAGTGCTCACCGTGTTGTCCGCGTTGTTGCAGATCGACGAGCTGAGCAACCGCGTGGCCAACGCGTTCCTCGCGCAGGGCTTCAAGAAGGGCGACACGGTGGCGCTGTTCATGGGCAACTGCCCGCAGTACGTGTGCGTGTGGCTGGGCCTGTCCAAGATCGGCGTGGTCATCGCCTTCGTCAACCACAACCTGCGCAGCATGCCGCTCGTGCACAGCGTCAAGGTGGCCGACTGCTGCGCCGCGGTCTTCAGTCCGGAGCTCGCCGACGGTGCGTCCACTCGAAGTTTTATTGACATTTCCGATCGAAAGGCTGAAAGCGATACCCACAGCTAAAACCTTGCTCATGGCTCCCGGCCATTTGTACGACGATGCCGACAAACCCCAGCCTACACACAGTGGGCCAGAAGACCGGCGCAGGCGGCCAAAACTCTAGACGCGTTTTGAGCTCCAGAGTCGCTAAATGGGACTCGGACCGAACGTGTGACCCCACCAATGGATTGCTCTCCGAACGAGGAATCCATTGGTGGGGTCACACGTTCGGTTCGAGTCCCATTTAGCGACTCTGGAGATCAAAACGCGTCTAGAGTTTTGGCCGCCTCCACCGGTCTTCTGGCCCACTGTGCTACACCCCAAATTGGCATGCCTAGAAAAGAAACTGGGCGCCTTTGTCGCCCGCTTTACGTTTTAGGACGCCAAATGTCGCCCAGTTTCTGGGCACCTTGTGGAGCGGGCGACAAAGGCGCCCAGTTTCAGGGCGTGCCAAGTTTAGAGTGTAGGTGATGTCGTACAAGTGTCCGATCGTGGCTACCCATCGAATTCAGCTGGCTATCGAACAGAGTTGATCACCGCAACAAAGTCTTTTCATTTTCTTGAGCGCACTTGTTCCGTTCGTGACCAACGTGTCTTTGGCCGTCCGTTGCAGCCATGCTGGAGGTCCGCGGCGACTTCGAGACCCCCCTGAGGCTGTTCCAGCTGGGCGGCGAGGGCCCCAAGGGCGGCCCCGTCGAGCTTCTGCAGCCCCTCCTGGACGGCGCGGCCGCCAGCGCGCCCGACTGCACGCCGCCGGGCTACCGCGACAAGCTGCTGTACATCTACACGTCGGGCACCACGGGGCTGCCCAAGGCGGCCATCCTGCCTCACTCCAGGTGAGGGACGCGACGAGCGCCAAAACTCCAGACGCATTTTTAGTATCATAGTCGCGAAATGGGACTCAAACCTACCGCGAGACTCTACAAATAGATTGCTCTCCAAAGGAGGAACGAGGAATCCGTTGGTGGGGTCACACGTTCGGTTTGAGTCCCATTCAGCGACTCTGGAGCTCAAAACGCGTGTAGAGTTTTGGCCGCCTCCGCCGGTCTTCTGGCCCACTGTGAGTCGGCATAGCCAACTGAAACGGCCCCTCTGAATCGGCAGGTACCTGTTCGCGACGCTGGCGGCGGTGCACTCGCTGCAGCTGAAGGAGAGCGACGTCATCTACAACCCGCTGCCGCTGTACCACACGACGGGCGGCAACGTGGGCATCGGGTGCGCGCTGGTCGCGGGGCTGACGGTGGTCATCCGCGCCAAGTTCTCGGCCTCCGCCTACTTCCCCGACTGCGCCAAGTACAAGTGCACGGTGAGTATGGTGTTGGGGGCAGGCAGCGGGCTCCGCGCACGGTGGGCCAGGAGACCAGCGCTGGCGGCCAAAACTCCAGACGCGTTTTGAGCTCCAGAGTCGCTAAACAGGACTTGAACCGAACGTGTGACCCCACCAAAGGATCCACGTTCGGGACGGCAATCCATTGGTGGGGTCACACGTTCGGTCCGAGTCCCATTTAGCGTCCGGGATTTTGACCGCCTTGACCGGTCTTCTGGCCCACCGCGAACCGCTGCTCTGTCCCTCTCGCACCTGTGCGGGACGCCCAGTGGCGGACTCAGGCCGGCCGGGCCTGAGGGGGTGGGCTCAGCTCGTGTTGCCTAGTCACAGAGTCGAAGTGTCTTTTTTGGCTGAGCAGATGCTGTCAGCAAACAAAATACTTGGTATTTCCTTAAAATAATGAATTGAAAGATACGAGCAATCGCCAAAATAATACTCGGGGAAAATACGAAATATCATGTTTGCTTACAGAAAATGCTTCTAAAAAAGACAGAACCAGACTGACAGAGTGAGTGCGCGAGGGACAGGGCGACGCGTCATCTGGGCGGGTTGCGCAAAGCGCGCTGTGGTGCTGCCTGGTGCTGCCATGGCGCTGCCATGCTGCTGATCCGGGTAATTTGCCTTCCCGCTAGTGTAGATGCCCCGCGCCTACACCCTGCGGGTCCCTGCGGGTCCCTGCGCAACTCCGAGGCCCTTATCTCCCTGGCAAAGACGAAGGCAGGCAAAGGCCCGCCAATTTCGGGGAACCGGGGCCGCGGGGGGCCGCGCGCCGCGCGAGTCCGCAAAGCGGGGAAAAGTGCTGACTGCCACACTGCCACTGAGAAGTCCGATCCGAAGCACTCGAACGCAGTGCACTGGCAGTGGCTGAAATTTTCGGAACTCTAGGGAGGCTCATTTCACCACGAATTTCGATATTTGCACGCGTGATGGGACTTGTGTCGTTGCGTACTACAGCGCAATGGAACGCATTTTGGAGCACTAAATCGGTTCATAGCTTCCCCCGCAGAGCACCCTTCATCTTCTCAAATACACAAAACAGTGCAAAAACGCAACAAAAAGTCAAAATGAGCAGGACTCTGACGGGATTCGAACCCTCGACAGGTGGCGCAGTACATCGGCGAGATGTGCCGCTACGTGCTGGCGGTGCCCCCGCGGCCGTCGGACCGCGAGCACGGCGTCCGCCTGATGCTGGGCAACGGCATGCGCCCCACCATCTGGAGGACCTTCATGGAGCGCTTCAACATCCCCAACGTGGTGGAGCTGTACGGCGCCACGGAGGGCAACGCCAACATCGGTCAGTCATCATCGGCGGCGGCCAAAGACGCGTTTTGAGCTCCAGAGTCGCTTCGGGGGACTCGGATCGAACGTGCGACCCCACCAATGGATTCCTCGTTCGGAGAGCAATCCATTGGTGGGGTCACACGTTCGGTTCGAGTCCCGACTCTGGTGCTCAAAGCGCGCCCGGGATTTTGACCGGCTCCGCCGGTCTTCTGGCCCACTGTGCGGTATGGTTTGTTTACTTACTTCTCCGTTTCGTGGCGCTCCGCAGTGAACTTGGACAACACCGTCGGCGCGGTGGGCTTCCTGCCCCAGTCGCTGCCGCAGTCCATCTACCCCGTCGCCATCATCAAGACCAACCTGGAGACCGGCGAGATCATCCGTAACGAGCGGGGACTCTGCGACCGGTGCGGCGTTGGTGAGTCACTGAGGGGTGCAGTGGCGGATCCAGAGCCGGCCCCCGGGGGGGGGGGGGGGCAAAGAGTTCGCCTGCCACAGGTGCAAAGCGTTTCGTTTTGCCTATAATACCTTGCAGACAGTTTTCTGAGGGTCACTGGGAGGCAATGGTCCTTTCTCCTTCCCCATTTTCGCCCTGGATCCGCACTCGATACTATTGCCTAACCTCAAGCACTATCTAACATCAATAACAACCGACACTGTCTGTTAAAATCAATTATCTCTTTTTATTTTTGTTGCTCAGATGAGCCGGGCATGTTCATCGGACTGATCAGCAACAGGGACCCGACGCGGGAGTTCCACGGCTACGTCGACAAGGAAGCCTCCAAGAAGAAGGTCATCGAGGACGTCTTCGTCAAGGGGGACAAGTATTTCCTCACCGGTGCGTTTTTGCTGACCAATGGGTCGAGCACCTCGAGAGTGAGTCATGCTCTAATTACGCACCGTTGGCGTTGCAGGCGATATCCTGGTGATGGACGAGCTGGGCTACATGTACTTCAAGGACCGGACGGGGGAGACGTACAGGTGGGACGATGGCCCTCGAGGCCCCCTCGGGGCCCTCAGGGGCGGATCCAGGGTTTGCGTCAGGAGGGGCGTAAAGAATTGCGTTGTGCCGACACACCCTTAAAAGCCGTTTCCAGAACCTACAAAATTATTGACTTCCAATGAGTGAATTTCCTTGAAACATTTAAATAAAAATTATTGACCTCCAATGAGTGAATTTCCGTGAAACATTCAAGTAAAATCGTTAGATTTAATTGTCTTGGTTCCAGAACCGGCTTTTTTTTGGTGTGCAGGGGCAAAGCAGTATGCTTTTTGCATACTTACCAGGCGGGGTAGAACCCAAAGAGGGGATGATTACCCCTATTACTCCCGCCCCCTCCTGGGGGCCCGCGCCTGCTGCACCTGCCAGGAAGTCCACACGTGACGTGACGCTCTCTGTTTTTTGTTTGTCAGGTGGAAGGGCGAGAACATCGCGACCGCCGAGGTGGAGGCGGCCGTCGGCGCCGTCCTGGGGCTGCGCGACGTCACCGTGTACGGCGTGGAGGTTAGTAGCGACAAGCAGACAAAAAAAAATACCCTCAAATAAACAAACAAAAAAATCTAAATTAACATAAATACACCAAAATTTTTGGAAATTTTTTTGTATCCAGTCTGGTTACTTTTTTGACACCAGATTTGGTAATGCACAAAACTGTTTCCAGTTGGTGACAAAAATTTGAAATACTCACCGTATAAGTTACTAACGTGAAATCGCATCGTCACGCTGTCGCGCGTCTGTCGAACTTTTGCAACAGCTTGTTTGGCGTCCACTATCTTCGCGGGGCACCTGCTCCCTAATCTGCCATGAGTGCCAGGCCCTGCCAGGAACGGCGTGACGAAGCATAACCTCCGCCAAAAGGAAAATTGTGCCCGTGGTGGTGACAGTGTGTCGTTGTTTGCGCTATCGCAGGTGCCCAATGCCGAGGGTCGAGTGGGCATGGCCGCCTTCGCCGACCCCGACGACACCGTGAGCATCGAGGGGCTCGCCCAGGGCGTCGACAAGATGCTGCCCTCCTACGCCCGGCCCGTGTTCCTCAGGAAGGTGGCCGCCCTGGAGATGACGGGCACGTACAAGATCAAGAAGTACGTCCTGCAGAAGGAGGTACGTCAACACGAATCACTTTTGACCGGCCACCGCACACAACAGCGCACTCTAGAAACTGAAGAGAGTGCATGGCATGCTCCCCCAAGGAGTCAACCACAAAGCACGCTCTTCCTAGGAGCATGCTTGCAAGCACTCTCTATGATGAAAGCGTGCCTTTTCGTTGATATGAGTCCATATAATAGTGACGCAGCACAGGAGCGTGCTTGCCAAGCATGCTTTGAGTGTGCTTTGTGGTTGACTCCCTGTAGGAGCATGCCATGCACTCTCTTCAGTTTCTCTAGAGTATGTTCCATTCGTTCCCCCATAGCATATGCGCTGTTATGTCCGCTGGCCACCTATTTTTCGAGTGTCAAATAAATATATTTTTTTAAAAGCAACACCTAAAATTGATCAAAAACTTTTTTGTTTTAAAAAATTTGTTTCTTTTTCAGGCTTATGATCTGAATGTAGTGAAGGACCCGCTTTACATCAGGAGCGGCAAAACTTACATTCCTTTCACTGCCCAGGAATTCCAAAGTCTTCAGACCGGACAGATTCGCCTGTGATACAACTACTTTTCCTAAAGAACCCACTTTTTAGAGAAGACTGTCAAGAGAGAGACGCCTGTTTGAGGAGGGAGTCGTATGTGATACTGACATGAAGATTGTTCACAAAATGTTTGCGCTGAGTGTGGGATAGTCCTCATGCCATAAAACTAAGTCGCAGTGGTAGTTTTTAAGTGGGAGGGGCGGGGTGGGAAGTCAGCTCGGGCATATCAAATGTGTGATAGGACTGTCCTTATTTGTGGAAAATAAAAGTTTCTTTTGTTTGTAATGTTTTCATGAATTAGAGTCGCCACAACGAATGTATTATACACAATATTGTTAATTTAATTGTGTAAATGTGTTGTGATTGGTTTCTCGTTGGAGAAATACATACTTTTTGTCAAAATTTCGATGAAAAGTGGGAGTACAACAAAACGAAGCCCCATTTCTTTCTACATCTTGCCGTAAAATCATTGCCAAATGTGCAGACATGTGAGTTTCTCTTGAAAAACAAAGCATTAGGTATGTACCTCGCAAGACGTATACGCTAACGTAATAAAATATTTCTTTTTACTTGTTTTAACAGCTTCATTTGAATACAGTGTCTTTTTCATGCTTAAAAACTCCCCGACAGACAGACAGACACACTTCGTTGAAAAAGAGGATCTAGGGTGTAGAGGCTCTGGCAGTGTGCGTGTTTTCGACGGTCGCTGGTGGCTCGTGTCACCTTTATCGGGGAAGTCCCATCGGGGAAGTCCCGACGGGGAGGAAAATGGGGCAGCACACCGCCCGAGGAAAACGGCACGAGGCACAAAGTGTTACGAAGCGTGTCTTACATTCCTATTCGCACCGATACGAGTTCGAGAAGCCACATGTCCCCGTGAGTGCGAGAGAGAGAGAGAGAGAGAGAGAGAGAGAGAGAGAGAGAGAGAGAGAGAGAGAGGGAGAGAGAGAGAGAGCGAGCAGGCTGTAGTCGAGGCGCACAGTGGGCCAGCCGGTGAAGGCGGCCAAAACTCTAGACGCGTTTTGAGCTCCAGAGTCGCTAAACAGGAATTGAACCTACCGTGTGACCGGGCATGGAATTCGGCTCGGGGGCACTGGCGTCACACGTTCGGTTCGAGTCCCGTTTAGCGACTCTGGAGCTCAAAACGCGCCCGGGGTTTCGACCACCTCCACCGGTCTTTTGGCCCACTGTGAGGCGGGGCCTTCCCTCGGCGTTCACGGCCTTGATCGAGTCCTGCTCGGCCTCGGCTGCGCCGGTCCGGCGCACCAAGTGCACCACGTGCACCACGCCCCCATTGTTGGCATGTAGGACACGCGTACAGCGTGCGGGGCGTTGACTCGATTAGTATCTCGACGTGCAATGGAGTGCAACCGCACGGCAACACACGCGCTTCTATGCTGAAACGCGCTGTGCGCTGTCGTCATGCACGAATCTGATTGGCGGGGGAAGTCCGAGCCCTCGCCATGCCCTCGCCGCCGTCGACGTCGCGGTGGTGATGCTGGTCGGTGGCCGCGGCGGCCGCGGCGTGGTGGGCCCGTGGCAGGCAGCACGTCGTCGCTCGAGCCCTAACAATGCATCGGCTCCTCCGCCGGATGTCTGCCGGCGATGTCGGGGGGCCGCATGCCGCGAGCAGTGCGTCGCTCTGTCTCTCTCGCACCCACACCGGACGCCCCCTGGGTGCGAGAGAGACAGAGCGACTGTTCGGAGTGGGCCCGCTGGGGTAATCACGGGACAGAGGTCGCGTCCCCGTCGGCGGCGTGCGGCGGCCCCTTGTCCCTTGGGCGACACGGCCCTGCGGCCTGCAACCCCGCCAACACAGTGGGCCAGATGACCGGTGTAGGCGGCCAAAACTCTAGACGCGTTTTGAGCTCCAGAGTCGCTAAATGGGACTCAAACCAAACGTGTGACCCCACCAATGGATAGCTCTTCGAACGAGGAATCCATGGGTGGGGTCACACGTTCGGTTCGAGTCCCATTTAGCGGCCCTGGAGCTCAAAACGCGTCTAGGGTTTTGGCCGCCTCCACCGGCCTTCTGGGCCACTGTGCCCAGGCGCCATCCTGACGACAAAGAGGCCGTCTTCGTCTGGCTGTAAACATCCCGAGCTGAGACAAATAACTAACTCCGCCCTGTGCCGACGTGCCGTGCCGACGCGCAGCGCCGCGCAGCGCACACCATGCGACCGAGATACTTTCTCTTTATCTGTGGTGTTTTCGTCGATTGCACTCAATTGCGCACTGAGACGGGGGCTCTCTTCGCTTCCGGCGTGGCCCGTGCCGGCCGGCCCAGCGGCAGCGCGCTACCAGTGCCGTGCCGTGCGGATCGGTGTGTCATCACACCGCCACCTTGTGCAACGCACCGCGCGGCTATCTCGCGAGGAAAATTACCGCCGATAAGGCGATTGAATGATTTTCCCTGGCGGAGTGGCGCAGGGTGGCGCGGGGAGTCCCTGGCCCGGGGGAAAATCTAGATGCGGGCCGCCGGGGTCCCAGTCGACGGCTTGCTGGAAGAGTGTAGAGGTCACGGGATTGCAGACAGAGACGGAGACCGAGGCCGCCAGCGCAGTTGCAACTTAGTGCACGGGACCTACCGCAAGGTAATTCGGCAATCGGCGGCCACACAGTGGCGGAGATTGTGTGACTACATGCTCTTGCCTACCTTTCCGGCGGCTATCCAGGGGCGTGGGGGGGGGGGGCTATTGTCCTTTTGCCCTCTTCTGGATCTGTAAACAGTACGTCGGCAACCTCCTGTTCCTGAGTCTTGATTCTGAGGAATTTCTCTGATGTCCACACACTTGGATTGGAGTTGGGTCATTGGACGCGACATGGCGCAAGTTCACGTTCACATTGCAGAGGCCCGCGACGGGCGAAGGGCGCGACAGAAGCCTTTCCGTCCAATATTTGTCCGCCTTGGGCTCCGCCTTGGGCTTTCGGTTCAGCGACCGGCCGCGGCATGCGATGCCAACAATGTTGCCAGGCGCTTCATACTTTGTCCGATATCGCGCGACTCTCAATTACCGCCCCTCCCTTTATCAGGCCGGCGCACAGTGGGCCAGAAGACCGGTGGAGGCGGCCAAAACTCTAAACGCGTTTTGTGCTGCGCAGTTGCTGAATGAGACTCGAACCGAACGTGTGACCCCACCAATGGATTGCTCTCCGAGCGAGGAATCCATTGATGGGGTCACAGTTCGGTTTGAGTCCTGTGTGGCGACTCTGAAGCTCAAAACGCGTCTGGAGTTTTGGCCGCCTCCACCGGTCTTCTGGCCCACTGTGCGGCAGTCTCGCTGTTTCTGTCGCACCCCTGCGGGCCGCGCCGCGAGAGCGAGAGAGACAGCACGACGGGGAGGCTGCATGGCATGCAGACTGATTCCAAGACTCGTTTTCGTCGCTCTGTCTCTCTCGCACTCAGGTCGTCCCTGGAGTGTGCGAGAGAGACGGTGACGAAAACGACCCTCGGAATCAGTCTGCTGATGAGGTGGCGACGAGGTGCCAGCCACCTCATACAAACTAAGTTAAACGGCTGGGATTGTGGTGCCGCGCCAAACGTCCCTAAGCCGAACCGCGAGCTCGCGGTGATGACTGCAATTACCTGGCTGCGTCGCTGCTTCGCGGCGCACGGCGGCGCCTCGGAGGCGGGGCGCCACCTCACCGCCAGCACGGTGCTCTTCGCCACGAGCACGAGCACGATCCCCACACCGCACGGCCCGGCGGCCCGGCACACAGTGGGCCAGAAGACCGGTGGAGGCGGCCAAAACTCTAGACGCGTTTTGAGCTCCAGAGTCGCTAAACAGGCCTCGAACCGAGCGTGTGACCCCACCAATGGATTCCTCGCTCGGAGAGCAATCCATAGGTGGGGTCACACGTTCGGTTTGAGGCCTGTTTAGCGACTCTGGAGCTCAAAACGCGTCTAGAGTTTTGGCCGCCTCCACCGGTCTTCTGGCCCACTGTGCGGCACGGCACGGCCCCGCGCGCTCTGCTTTGACAACGTTGACCCCGCCGTGCGATCCCGGCCCGTCCCGGCCCCGGCAGACTGATTCCGAACAGCGCTTTCGTCGCTCTGTCTCTCTCGCACCCACACGGCAACGCCCTGCGAGTGCGAGAGAGACCGCCGGCCGCCTCGGCCCGCCCACCGCAGAGCCCGCAGACAGTAGCACATACGTGTGCGCGAATGAGTGATGTTTCGAAACGCAACGATTCACGAATCGTGGGGGACGCGTGCTGCGAGCCGCGCCGCTTGTCCCGCTTGTCTCGCCGCACTCCGCACTCTCGCACTTGGCCAACACATGTGACGCCGCACGACTTTGAACTGTGTGAAGCCAGCGTGATGCGTGATCAGGCGCGGGTCCAACGGGAGGGTAACACAGGCGCGGATCCGGGGGGGGGGGGGGGGGGTCGCTCCCCCCTGAAGGGGGCGAAGCCGCCTGGAAGGTAGGCAACAAGGCCCACTTTGCCCCTGTAGGTAGGCAACTTTCGTGACATCGCCCCCCCGCCCCCTGAACCCGTCCGTGGATCCGCCCTTGGGGTAAGAGGGGTAATTACCTCTCCCTTAGGTGCCAGAGAGGCCGCCTGGAGGGTAGGCAAAATGTACTACTTCGTCCCTGTAAATAGGCAAAATGTACTACTTCGTCCCTGTAAATAGGCAAAATGTACTACTTCGTCCCTGTAAATCGGCAAAATGTACTTCTTCGCCCCTGTAAATAGGCAAAATGTTTTACTTCGTCCCTGTAAATAGGCAAAATGTACTACTTTGTCCCTGTTAATAATAGGTAAAATGTACAACTTCGTCCCCGCAAATAGGCAAAATGTACTACTTCGTACCCTACCCTTAGTGAAACTTTGGAGCCGCGTCTGTGCGTTATTGCACACTGCGAAAACGAAAACGGTTTCCAATCCGTCGTTCGGTCCGTCTCGTCGTTTATTTTTTGTCGTCCCAGAGTTAAAGTCGCTGCGTGAATCGGTCGGCGGTGGCGGCCGGTTTGGTTGTGGTGTAGACTATAAAGCACTGACCGACTCACAAGTAGCCAGCCCGTTGGCGAGGCGTGGCGTGGACACACACGGCGCAGCGTTAGCACGGCGTTAGCAACGCGTTATTGCAGAGTTCAGTGGACCATGGCGCAACGGCTTGACATTCGCACTCATGTGTGTGTGTGTGCATGCGCGCGCACGGCTGTATGTGTGTGCGCGCACTACAAAATAAAGAGCACGGGGCTCCACACTATATTTTTGAGCGCGCGCTGCGCAGTGGGCCAGAAGACCGGTGTAGCGGCCAAAAGTCTAGACGCGTTTTGAGCTTCAGTGTCGCTACAAGACTCAAACCGAACGTGTGACTGTGACCCTATCAACAGATTCCTCGTTCGGAGAGCAATCCTTTGGTGGGGTCACACGTTCGGTTCGAGTTCCATTTAGCGACTGTGCAGCTCAAAACGCGTCTAGAATTTCGGCCGCCCCCACCGGTCTTCTGGCCCGCTGTGCGTTGGTGGCCATATGGATGATGCGCTGGTGCTGACTTGGAGCATAAACCAGTCGTTAACGATCCCGCACATTGCTTCGTCGCTCTGTCTCTCTCGCACTCCAAGGGGACCCCCCACGAGTGCGAGGGAGACAGGGTGATGAAAGCTCGGCGCGGAGTCAGTGTGCTGCCATGAGGCTGGACCCCTTTTGACAGGTCAACCGACTGAGGCCGCCAGGTCGCCGCGCTAAGCTGACGTGTCTGCGCGCAGGCCGAACGCGTGGCCTAGCTGTATGCAGTTACTTATCAATGAACTGTAGCAATAGTGGCGGCCGCTTGCGCGTGCTACTCACACTCTCTCGCTCACGCACACACACAGTGACACACAGAGGACCGTTGGCGCGCGTGCGCGTGGCGTTGCGCGCCGCACTGCTGCCAACGGCGGGAGATTCGAAATGCGATCGCGCCGCGGACGCGACGGGCCGCGCCTTCGCGAGACGAGGGCGACGAGAACGGAAACATACTCGGACCGAGTTGCCAGTTTATCCAGGGTTCCGGGGGAACACCGCGGCGGTCGGGGTCCTCTGGGAGACGAACCCGCGTCCGGCCGAATCCGCTTGACCGGTTGGTACCCATGTCGTCAGTCCGCCGCACACTAGCGCCGCGGCGAGCGGCGGCGACTGGCCGAAGCTCGCGGGAGCGGGAGGGAAGTAGAGGGAAGGCGGGGAGTGGAGGCAGACCCGCGGCGCTCTCGCAATCCCCTCCACTGGCAAGCCTCAGTCGCACAATGGCGCGGGCCGGAGAACGTCGTCCTTGCCGCTTGTAGGGGACGCCGGCCAAACCGTAGCGAGCCGTTGGACTGACTTCCGAGCCGAACTCCGACCTCATCGTGAACAAGTGCATCGGACCGAAAGCCATAGCAACGGGTGGGTGTCTTGTGCAGTGCAGTGTCTGTGTTGGCCGTTGTGCCTGGCGGTGGCCGTCGCCGTCGTGGCCGTGCTGCGGCGCGCTGTCGCCGCGTGGTGCAACCGCGCAACCCTTGCAGGTGTGCATCCCGTGCAACCGTGAGGCAACCCGCGCAGCCGTGCAACCCGCGCAGCCGTCGAGCGACCCCCGGCCGCCGGCCCGGCCCGCCGTGCGTGTCTTCGCCGCGATTTTGGCATTTCGGGGATGCGCGCTCCGTGGCTGCCGTTGAGGCGAGGGGGGTGGAGGGGTGGCCGTCGGCGAGTCGTCGCGGCGGTTGGCCGTCACGGGGGTCGTGGCGGCGGCCAGGGTGGCGGCAGGGTGCCGCGACCCGTGTGGAGCTCGCGAAGCCTGCCGAAGCCAAGCAAGTGACAGTTGCATTGCGCCACGCGGCCACGCTGTCACAAGTTTTAAATGTCCGCCGGCGCGGGGGGCGTCGCTTCGCGTAGCGTCGCGGTGCGTCGTGCGTTTGGACGCAGGGCGTCGTTGGAGGCGGCGGCGCCGGCCGGTTGACGGACTCCCCGTCCGATAGGTCCGGTAGGTCCGGCACCGCGGCGGCCGTTAGTGACGCGGGGGGTGGGGGAAGGGGGGGAGTGGGGAAGGGGGAGCAACAGCTGTTCCGGCCGCTTTGAAAAGAGCGCCACTTTTGAAACTGTTGCGTCACCTGTCTTTGCACCGGATGCATTAAGTGGCCGTTGTTGTGGGAGACGCCTCACGCTGTCCGTCTGTCTGCAGGTCGAGCAGACGACCGGTGTCCCCTACTCTGGATACATCTCCGTGGCGCCGCAGCGCTCCCTCTGGATTTGGATTACCGTGCCGCGAGTGTCAAAGTGCAAACCAGTGATTCCTCAAGAGAGTGCGTCATGATCTTGTGAAAGTGTCGTCCGCGCGTTGGTTTCCCCGTTTGTGAACCTGATCTGATTCGCGAGTGCTGTGAAAGTGAGGTGTAGTTTCAATGCAAGAGGATACGAGCAGCAGTAGTCATGAAGTGTCGGAGCTGCTGTTCAGGACCAAGGACCAGGGCCCCTCTGGGGTCGTCCCCGACGAGCCGGCCGAGGGGCCGGAGGGGTCTGACGGGTCGGAAGGCCCCGACGGGCCCGAAGGGTCGGACGTCCCCGACGGGGCTCCCCCGACTTCCGGTGGCCATGGCTCTGCCCTGGGCATGTTCAAGAACTTGTTGCCGGCGTTCGGGGCCCCGCTCACCCCGGTCACGACCTCGGCCAGCGGGCCATGTCCGTCGGCCGGGGAACCCCCCGGCCTGTCCATGCCCGCCCAGTCCCCCCTCAACGCCATCGCAGACCCCTCGCCCCGCATCGCCCCCGTCACCTTCGTCGCCAACAAGTACGTCCTTCTGGACAAGGTGGACGGCAGCTCGTTCTTCAACTGCATCGACATCAACACGCGAGAGCAGCTTGTCTGCAAGGTGAGTAGTTCGAATACCGCCGCCGGCGGCTTTTTCTCGTGTGCCGAGTTTTGCCTCGGCCGGGAGTGGTTCGATGCGGTTTATTCGCGGCACTCCAAGGTGCCCCCACCTACCCCCACTCAGTCCGAGCCGGATGCGTGGACGCCACGGGAGGATGTGCGACTCGGTCTGGGGCAGGGCGGAACCAGCAGGGGGAGTGGAAACTAGCGCCCCGGATCAAGGACCCCAGGGCCCCGCCGACGGCCTGTCTGTCGAAGTCCATCGGCAGCGGCGCTCGGCACGGCTTCCCAGTGACTCAACGCTGCCTCTGTTTTGGAAGCCTTCACTGTAGTGGAGTAATCAGCTCCCCGAGCCGGGCGTGTCGGATGCAGTCGGATGGCGGAGGCACGAAGGGCAGTGCAAGTCTTGCCGCCTTGCACGGCGGGTATCTCGGCAGAGGGCTTTGGGACGGTGATGGTGGCGGGGGAGGGGGATTCCCAGGCCTTGAACCCCGCCATGCCTGTAATCGATGCAGACAGTCATCCGTGCCGTGGCCTACACAGTGGTGTGCCGGCCGTGGCGGTGCTCGTCCGCCAAGGCCGGCCCTCAGCCTACACAGTGGTGTGCCGGCCCGGCGGGGCCTGGCGGCCCTAAGGTGCCCTTTCCCCCGCAGAGTCAGCCCAACCGGACGTTGGGTCACTTTAGCCGCCCTGCCGCCGTGTCAATGGAGTCCCTCGTTATTGGGCAACGCGCATCCGCACGAAACCCCGCTCGGCTCTTCCTCGAGGCGAAAGTCGAGCGCGGCCGGCGGGGCGCGCGGGTTCAAACACCCGCGCCGGCGATTGTATTTTTACCCCCCGCGACGCTTACGAGCTTGTTTATTTATGTTTTGTTTTTGCAACGCGTCGTCCGTTCTTGTTTTATTCGTAAGCGTTGCCTCAGGACGGCACCGTCTAAATACGCCCGGGCGTGTGTGCGTGCGTGTACGTGCGTGTGTGAGCGTGTGAGTGAGCGCGTCTGTGTGTGTGACCTCCGCCCAGAGCCGGCTCTGCACTGGCAAGAGACAAGGAGTGGCCCAACGCGGTGCCTGCCCGGCCTGCCCGGCACGCCGGGATGGGATGGGTACACGTTTGGACCGAGGCAACAACAACAACAACATCCCCGAGAAAACAATAATGTAAAGCAAAGCGACACGGGAGCAGCAGGAGCAGCGAGGGCCGCGGCCTGCACCGCAAAGTGCTGAAGGCGGCTAAAGGCTCGGCGGCTTGGCGCGCACCGGTGAACCTTGGCCCACATGGTGCGGCAGTCTGCTCCCCTTTGCAGCGCGCAGCTACGCGCAGCGCGAAATGCCCCGCCAAGCGCCCCACCGAACGCCCTGCCCCAAGCGCCCCGCCCAACGCCCCGCCGAACGCCCCGCCAAGCGCCCCGCCAAGCGCCCCGCCGAACGCCCCGCCGAACGCCCCGCCGAACGCCCCGCCGAACGCCCCGCCGAACGCCCCGCCGAACGCCCCGCCCAACGCCCCGCCAAGCGCCCTTCACGCCGCCTTAAGAACGAAAAAAATAGAGAACGATAAAAAGAGAGGTGTGGCGCTGCCGCTACCTTGCAGCGCGGCCCACCAGGGTCGAGCCGGGGACACACACACACACGTGCGGTCACGTGGCCAGCTGACACCCACGCGCTAACCAACGAAAACGACTGGGCCCTGCGTCACGATATTTATCATCTTTCGGGGCTCGGAAACACGCCGATTGCTCGCTGTTTCGTTTTGTGTGTCGGGAAGTTTGTCGTGTCGGACTCACGGAGCTACGCCTGGCTACGCCGAGCACGTCGAGGTGCATGCTGCATCCGGATGCGCTGCACCGCGTCGGTGAAAGCGCGCAGCGCACAGCGCACGACACGGCAGTCGTCTTCGTCGCTGTCCTTCTCGCACCTATGCGGGACGCCGCATGAGTGCGAGAGAGACAGAGCGAAGAAAAACGACTCTTGGAGTCAGTCTGCATCGAGTAGAAAGAGTAGAAAGCCTCCAGGACCGCAGCCCCACGCCCTGGAAGTCCTTGACGTCCTGGACGTCCTGGACGTCCTGTACATCCTGTGCCGCGCCACGTGGCGGCGGTGCGACCAGAAGTCTTTGAAGAGCTCTTCAAACGAGGAATCCATTGGTGGGGTCACACGTTCGGTTCGGGGCCTGCTTAGCGACTCTGGAGCTCACAACGCGTTTAGAAGTTTGGCCACCTCCGCCGGTCTTCTGGCCCACTGTAGCGTAGTCCGGACCGCGGCGCCACCCATTTAGCGTCGAGCCAGCGTCAAATTTGGGGGAAGATGAACTCGTCGGCCGCAAATGAGGTGGCCAGGTCGGCGTTGTTGGCAGGGACCCCGCCATGACGCGTCATGCGCCGCCCCCGCGCCGCCCTTGTTTCGCCCTGGCAGGACGCAGGACGCGCAGGACGCGCCAAACTCACTCACGCAGTGGGCCAGCGGACTCGCTCTGTCTCTCTCGCACTCATGGGGCGTCCCGCGTAGGTGCGAGAGAGACAGAGCAACGTAAAGGCGACTCTCGGAGAGACGGGTTCAGGCGGTCACGGCTCTTTGAACGCGTTTTCAGAACCATCTCACTCCAATGGGACCGAAATGGACGACACAGCGTTCCCTTCGAACGAGGAACCCTCTGGTGGGGCGATTCGGGCGATTCGCACCCTCGTCGCGTCCTATTTGAGGACCGAGTTCGCAACGTGCCTAAGCCTTTTGGCCGCGCAAGTTGCCGCCAGACGCCAGGGAGGGGATGACGACGACGACGTAGGAATGGACGTGGGCGCTGCAGGGTACGCTTCCGAACGGTGCTTTCGCCGTCTGTCCCTCTCGCACTCATGGGGCGTCCCGTAGGGGTGCGAGAGAGACGGCGCGCCGGTGCCGGTTAATTGAACGCCCCCGAGGCATTGTTCGTCGCTATTCGCTATCTCCTCCGCTTCCCTCAAATCGGTGTGTGCCAAACATTGCGGCGCCGTGCCGCCACGCCACGCCGCGCGCTTGGGGGACGTTCACACAGGTTGCTTGAATGGTTTTGCAACGGACCGGGCAGGGCATTGGAGGTCGAGCCCACCGGGCTCACGGCGGGCCCACGGCGGGCCCATGGCCCACGGCGCGGCGGCGTGGCGCGGCGCGGCTCGGCTCAAGGTCACGTTTCGGCGGCACATTGCACTCGCTGCAGGCAGGCAGGCCGGCCCCGGGACCTTGGCTCCAGAGGCTTATGTAACCGCACCTCGCCGCGTCTGCTGGGCCGCTGGCGGCCGCTGGGCTGAGGCTGCAGGAGGGGTCTGCAGTCCGGCAGTATTTACTGCTGGGGCTAATCCAGCGCCCGGGAGGCAATTACGGTAGAAATGCTGCGTGTTTTTTGGATGTCAGCTTTTTGCTTCGTTTCGCGTAGGGCCATGCGCGTGACGGCGCGTTTCGGGCCGCGTTGCTGGCGGTGTAGCTCGTGACCGTGAATGGCGTGAGGCGGGGCGGGGCGGGGTGCCTCCAGCGAGTCCAACGTCCACTGGCGGCGTGCTCGCGGCGCCGCGCGTACGCCAGGGCGCCACCGTCATTCACGCCACCTTGAATGGCGGCGTGCGCGCGTGCGGCGGTCGACGACGCGCAGGTGCAAGGGGCCGCCGCGGACGACGCGCGACGGGCAGGTGCTGCCGACGGCGGACAGGTGCTGGCGCGAAATTCGGCCCTTGCGGTGGCGTATGCAAATGGCGCGGTCCTCGGGCGTGGCGACGGGCGCCATATGGCACACCGAGGGGCGCACGTCATTGTCGTCCTGGCAGTCCTCGCCGTCGTGGAGGTGGTGAAGCCTTAGGACGTCCTCGCGTCGCCGAGCTCCCAGACCAAGTCCCAGACGGCCCCGCGCCAAGGCTACGCCGCCACCCTTTGACACTGACCGTGCCCCAGTTATCGCGGTGTCCCCGTCCGCCCGCGGCCCCCGCGGCCAGGGTGGCGCTTGGCGCTCCTCGGGCTGCTGAGTCTGCTGGGCCTGCTGGGGGTCACGCCGCGCCGCGGCACCATGGCGGCACGACGGCGGCGTGGATGGCGGCGCCTGAACCACTTTCTGCCGCAAGTGTGTCAAGTTCATCCCATTGACAGCGCGGCCGGGCGGCGGCAGGCAGGGGCCAGGCAGGGCCAGCCGGCCAGTCTGCAGGGGGTTCCCCTTCCACCGCGTCAACCCTAGCGTGGCGTGGCGGGGCGGGGCGGGGCGTGGCGGGGCGCCCAGGAAATAATACGCACGCAAGCATCAGATATGCAAACATGGTCCATCCGGTGGCAGCCCGGGGTGGCCCTGTGCTGCGGGAGGCACTGCCTGCACCGCCTCGAGGCGGTGTAGGGGCCGCACCGCGCCGCGCCGCGCACCGCGTTGGGCAACGCATTGTGAGGCGATGGAACCGGCCGGCCGGCACGCCGCGGAGTGGCACGCCCGTCTCGGGGACCTTGCCGTTGCCGCCGTTGCCGCGCGGCTTGTGCTCGGCGCAGCGCGGCGCGCCGACCGTGTTGCACCTTACACCCTCGACGGCCAGGCCGCCAGGCCGCGGCCCGAGCTCGGCGGCCGGCCGAGGAAAATTACAAATATGCGGCCGTCCATTTATTGCGTAACGCCGGAGCACCTCGGCGATGAGACGCCGACCCGCCCGCGCGTGTCAAAGTGTGCGCTGCAAGTGCGCGGCCCCACCCCTTCCGTGTGCGGCGTGCGGCGCTCGCGCCAGGCGGCTGGGCGCGTCACGCCGCCGCGTCACACGACACGTCACCCGTTGCGCCAACGGCGAGCCAGCGGCGGCCGGGCCGGGCGCCTTGCACGGCGCCGTGCCGCGGCGTCAGCGCCGTCTTCGGCAGAGTGAGGTGGGGCGCCGTGGGGGGCGCGGATAGGGTGGCCCGCGAGGGTAGCCCGCACGCCCACGCGTCCGCTGCCTGCCAAGCATCATCAAGACGGAATTCCGATTCCGAACTGTCTTTCGTGACTCCGTCTCTCTCGTACTCTTGTAAGTCGTCCCGCAGGAGTGCGACACCGAGTGACGATGTGACAGAGTGACAGCCCGCTCAGACTGTGTCCGGATGATCTGCTGGATGTAGAGGGTTGATCTTGACCTTTTGTTGGTCGAGTTCGAAGCGACACGAACTGGAAGTGGTTCGTGCCGGTGTTGAACCAAGGCCCCCGCTGTCGTGACCCAATACGCCAGCGCTCTCGGCTACGGCAGCCGAAGGTGGCGACGCAAGAAAGCAATTTTGCAGCGCGCCGCGGGGCGGAGGGCGGGGAATCACCGGCGGTGTCCAAGTCGATCCGACGGGGATCCCCTGTACAGGACGTGAAGGGGAACCACCTCTAACCACCGCTCTGGCTTCCCTGGCCCCGCGGATAGAAGGGGGAATCACCGCGGATAGAAGGTAGACCGGACCGAGATAGAGCAGGATAGAGCGGCCGGCCGCGAGCCTCGGGCTGACCTTCTGGCCGCGTAGCAGCGTAGCGTCGTTCAGACGAGTTGGGTTCGCACCGGTTTGCGTTTCCCGTGCGGCTTGCCACGGTGTGGCGTTGAGTCCGGGATGCCGATTGGGGCCGTGATTCGGGCACGCCGATAACACCACTGCACCTCGTGCCGCGGCATGCCGGTGGCGCTGGCGGTCCGTATGCCGGCCGCAGGGGAAGTACCGAGTGAGTGATGCTCCTCGTCGACGAGGCGATGGGCGGCCGCGTGCGTCACGGCCCGAATCCCGCCGCGGAGTCAACAACATGGCGCGCGAACCGAACGCTTGTGTGAACATGAGGCATGCCCCGAGCTTGGAACTCGAGGACGCAAAGCTTGTGCGAACATGAGGCATGCCCCGAGCTTGGAACTCGAGGACGCTACGCTAGCCTGCGGTGCCGCAGGTACGAGGGGACGCAACCACCAGCGAAATCCTGTGTACACCAAAATCTTGGGTGAAACCGGACGAAATCTCGTGAAATCCCTGCAAACTATGTTCAAATCCCACGAAATCTCATCAAAATCTGGTGAAATCGAGTGAAATTCCACCAAAATATCACAAAATTTTGGTGTGAAATCCTGAAATTTCTGCCTAAGAAGAATCCTGTGTACGAAGATATGTTGTTGCGCCCTCGCGCAGGTTGTGTCCGGCGCAAACTGAAGCGCTCACTGAATTGTGTGTTCCTGTTGCAGGTCGTGGGCCGCGAGGCAGGGTCGCTGCTGTCGGCACACTTCCGCGTCGACGGCCACCCGGGCCTGAACCCGCTCCGCGAGGTGATGCTGGGCCCGCACGGCGCGCACGGCTCGCGCCACATGTACCTCATCTTCCCCGCCGCGCACGGCGACCTGCACACGCACGTGCGCACGCGGAGGCGGCTGCGCGAATCGGAGGCGCGCCGCCTGTTCCGGCAGATGGCCGAGTGCGTGCGGCACTGCCACGAAGCGGGCATCGTGCTGCGCGACCTCAAGCTGCGCAAGTTCGTCTTCACGGACCGGCAAAGGTGAATATCCTGCTTCTTGTTGTTGTTGGTGATGTTGTTGTTGCCGTTCCGGCTGGAGCGGGGCGCGGCATGCGCTAGGCGTGGCCGACGCATTGCTGGCTTGGGCGTGGCGAGGCGTGGTGGCGCTGTCGCCCGTCTCTCTCGCACTGCGGCGATGCACGGCGGGTGCGAGGGAGACGGCGAGGGCGTCGCGCCACCAGGACCGAACCGCAAGGGCGGGGCTGACAATCATGGCCAAGTGACTGCCTGGGAGCACCCCGCCCCGCCCCAGCCCGCGTCGCCACGCCCAGGCCGCTGTGAAGGCCCACGGGCATCATTGTGCCGAGTAGGCGCCGGGGTGCATCCACTTTCCCCACTAGTGCGAGGACTGCAGCAAAGATACGCCAAAATCGGCTATCGTCCGCCTCTACTGTATGTCCCCAGCAGCCAGTGGCGTCGCAGCTGGCCATTGCACGGCCGGTTCATCAGTTTATCTGCTTTTCGTTCACCGCCAAATGAACTCGACAATATGAACGTCGGCAAACACATTTCGTGTGGCTTTGCTTAAGTGTGGCCACCGTCATCGAGACACCGCGGCCGTCGCTTCCCTCGCCTCAGTGCGAGGCTACATCCCGAACACTGCTCTGTCTCTCTCGCACCCCTTGCGAGCCGCCCCGTGAGTGCGAGAGAGACCGCGTGTCGAAAGCACTGTTTGGAGCCAGCCTGCAGGCTGCGTTGAGGCAAGAAAGTCGTCGCGGCGAAGCTAGTGGCTCGAAGCTCGGTGCCGCCAAGGCGCGCCAAGGTGAGCGAAATGGTGGCATTTCTCCTCTCTCCCTCTCCCACTCACTGCGCGCGCCGCAACGGCCCGCTAGCGGAGCGGCATAGGGAGAGGGAGAAAAAACTATCGGAATAAATTCAAGTGCCTTTTTTTCGGGTTGCGAATTCTTTAAAAAAAAAACAGCTCGCTGACGCGAGCTGACGTGTCGATTAAGAAGGGGCAGCTTATCAGTCCGGTGGTACTTTGTACACTGTAAGTACGTGCGCGGCGCTCACGTGTGGCCGCCGCGGCCCAAAGGCTCGGAAGACACGTGTAACTCGCTGCGGCGCGCTGCGGGCACGTGGCACATGCGTGGCATTTGTCTGATCGGATTCGCCATGCGGGTCGGGTCGGCCTCTACCCCGCGACACTGTGGCTGTCGTTTCGTCATGTCTCCCTCTCTCCCTCTCTCTCGGTGACGTCACCGAAGGACGCTGCGCGCTGCGCCTGCCCTATGGTTTCCTTTCGTGGCGACGCGACGCGTCAGTGTGTCTCTGTCGCAAGCGTGTCAGGGTTCGCGCGGGTTGCGGGTTCAAACACCCCGTGGACGGTGTTTTTATTTTGCGCGGCGGAGCGCGGAGCGCCCGGCGAGGCGGGCCGCTCCGTTACACAGCGCTGCGTGGCGGGCTTGCCTACCCGGCAGTTCGCAGGCGCGCTGCCCTAGCACTGCCCAAGTGCCGTCCTGCTGACTGACTCCCGGTCGTTGTCGTCTCTCTGTCTGCCTCGCTCTCACGGGGCGTCCGCTATGGGTGCGAGAGAGACAGAGCGACGAAAACGACTCTCGGAATCTGCCCCAGCGCTGCCCTTGCCGAGGCCCTAGCGCTGCCCTGCCCTCGCGCTGCCTGCCCGGGCGGCACCTTGCGTAATTAGCGGGGACCTTTATCTCGGAGGGGATTCGCGTTTGCGGTTTCGTCAACGCGCGCATGACGCCGCCTCCTGTCAGTCACCGCCACTGCTCACTGCTCGTCGCGGCTCCTTTTTGGCGGTGTATCCCTTCCATTCGCGGCGTTCGCGGCGTTCGCGGCACAGGCCCACAAGGGCGCGGGTGTCGCAACAAGGCCTAGGCCACACCGCCTCATTGTGATGATCCTCGACGGTGGGGACGGCGGGGACCTCAAGGCGGCAGCATCCTCGCCGGGCCGGGCGCCGCCGGATATTGCCACCGCGGGGAAGTCGGCCTGCCTGGCGGCGGCGGCGGGGAGACGGCCGGACAACATCGAGGTCCGTCCGCTCGACCCCGACACCAGCCGCGGCGCAGCAGCGCTGCACCTGTGCACCACACCGCGGCATGGTCCGGCTGGCTGACCCCGTGGCCGTGACTGGGCCGGTGGTCGGCGCGCTGCCGCTGCTGCACTCGGCCGGCCCAGTTGCTGACCTTAGAGGCCCCCGTCCAGGCCCCGGGCCCCTCTGCGGGGCACGCCACTGGAAACCATAATTGTATGCCATGTCGGTGCCGCGGCCTCCGGGGCCTGGAGATTGGTGACGGGCTGACCTTGCCGTGCCGCGCCGACCCGCGCGCCGTCAAGCAGGTCGTCGTCGCGGTGCCGTACCGGGTGCACCGCCAAGCACGCTGCCGACGAACGCCGGGCGTCCTGTCTCTTCGTGTCCTATATCTAACAATTTATCGTTTATTCTGTAGTACCTCCTATTGCTTGAAAAGCTTATCTGCCGCCAACGTGGACCTCTCAAGCCTCTTTGGCGCATTTTAGCCAAATTTATATTTTTTGCGGGGTGCTACCGTGGTCGGCCGGCTTTGTTTATTTTTGATTAGAAAGGTTAAGGATTATTTAATCCTGGAGCGTGACAGAGACGGGAGCGGGAGTGGCTGGGGCGGGCTGCGGCGCGGCGGCCAGGCAGGGCAGCGTGTTGCAACGGGATTGCATGGCCCCAGTGGGCCCCAGTGGGCCCCAGGCATTGCATCGTAGCAGGACTGCAGACATTGGATCGGTGCGGCTAAGCGGCAGCTCGCGGTCCTCCTGGACGCGGTCCTCTACGACAGAGTCCTTGTAGACGGGGTCCTCGTGAACGCGGTCCTCCTGGTGGACGCGGTACACCTGGTGGACGCGGTCCTCCTGGTGGACGCGGTCCTCCTGGTGGACGCGGTCCTCCTGGTGGACGCGGTCCTCCTGGTGGACGCGGTCCTCCTGGTGGACGCGGTCCTCCTGGTGGACGCGGTCCTCCTCGTGGACGCGGTCCTCCTGGACGCGGTCCTCCTGTTGGACGCGGTCCTCCTGGTGGACGCGCTCCTCCTGGCGGACGCAGTTCCCATGGACGCGGTCTCCTGGACACTGCCCACCGGGATGCTGTCCACCAGGACGCCGTCGTCCTGGACGTGGAACCGCCCACGTCCTGAGACGCTTCCAGCTCGTTTCTGTCTCGCCCTCGACCTTTGCTTCATCGCCACGCCGTTGCCGTTCGGCGGTTCATTTCGGCGGCCCGGCCGGTTGCACCTGACCTTCCAGTGCGGCTGCGGCGACCACCGGGACGGCCCTGCGGCGCGAGGCCTTGCTCGCACGCTGCGCGCTCTGTGCAAGCAAAGCTCTGTGTGCAAGCTCGCTGTGCAAGCGGGTAGTGTGTGAAGGCCCGCAGTGCCAGCGCGCTCTGCGCAAGCTCGCTGTGCAAGCTCAGTGCAAGCTGAGTGCATCCCGATCGAGGGGCCGAACTCGTTGCCAGCCAGGAGCGGCCGGGAGCGGCCGGGAGCCCAAAGGTCTGGTGCAAGCCGCGCCAGAGCCGCGCCATGGCTGCGCCAGCCACAAGGCCGGCCGGGAAAAAGGCTGCGCATATCGGTCTTGCTCTTCTTTTACAAGGCAGAAAACGCAAGGAAAGGGCGGGGCCCTCTCGGGGCCCTCGGCGCGGCCCTCGGCGGGGCGCTGTGTGGGCGCTCCATTAAATTAGCCGGACGCGGCGGTCGTTGGGCCGGGCCCTGCGCCCTGCAGACTGATGCCGAGTCGTCGCTCTGTCTCTCTCGCATCTACACGGGACGCCCCATGAGTGCGAGAGAGACAGAGCGACGAGGGCGACTCTCGGAATCAGTCGGCTGGGCTGTGGGTGCGGTCGGGCGGTCGGGCCGGACAAGATGACCCATCCCATGAGGCTCGGCCGGCCGGGCTGCCGGCAGATTCACTGGGTGTGGTCTTTCTCGTTTCCGCGAGCCGTGACGCCGTGTTGTTCGGCATAGCCAGGCAACGTACTGGAGAGAGAGAGGGGGGGGGGAGAAAATGCGGGTGATACTGCGGGCGGCGGGGCCCCAAGGTTCGGGACCGGATTCAAGGTTCTGCCGTGGAGAGGATGAGCCTTTGGGGAAGTGGCCGAGCCGGCGCGTCCCCACCATGAGCCTCATCCTCTAGCCCCGCCGCGCCCCGCCCCGCCTCACCCCGCCGCGCCACCCAGCCGGCGCCGTGCTCTTGGAACGTGAGTCACGTGGCCGCGAGGGGCATGGCGAGGGGCATCCCCACCACGCGCCGCACCGCGGCGTCAGCCTCGCCGTCAGCCTCGGCGTCAGCGGACCCGCCCAATTGTGTCAAAATGTGGCGCGAGCGTTTCATCAATGCGCGCATGCACGGCGGCCGCGGCGGCCGTGAGGTGAGGGGGGCGGCCATCTCGCTCCGAGACCCGACCTCCCCGTGGTGATCCCCCATTGTGGACACATGGAAACATGGCGATGCATTAAGTGGATACCGGTGAGCTGTTGGTAATCCATTGAACAGCCCGTGGTGAGCCCATCAAGGGGCCCATGGTGATCCCATGAACGCTCCCGTGGTGAGCCATGGTGATCCCATGAACGCCCCCGTGGTGATCCCATGGTGATCCCATGAACAGCCCGTGGTGTGGTGATCCCATGAACGCCCCAGTATTGGCGAGCCCATGGTGATCCCATGAACAGCCCGTGGTGAGCCATGGTGATCCCATGAACAGGCCGTGGCGAGCCATGGTGATCCCATGAAGAGCCCGTGGTGAGCCATGGTGATCCCGTTTGAGGACACCTCTGGAGACCCCCGACTACGCGGTGCGGTGCGGCGCGGCGCGCGCGGAGGGGCCGGCGTGGGGCACACACAGTGAACGGCCGAGAATGACGCTGGCCTCCACGCCGCGCCGCGCCGCTGTCCAGCTCGCCGCGCCGCGCCGCGGAGTGCCAGGGCCGGCCAGGGCCGTCCACAACGCGCGGCGTGCGGCGCTACGCTGCCTCTCTACCAACTTAGGCCGC